AATTGAGTTGATTACATAATTCGAACAGTTCTAAATTCGCCTCAAATAAAAAAGGGATAATAACCTCCTTGATTCAAGAACAATAAGACTCAGTTTTGATCTAAAAAGAATGAGGATTTTGCTTGATCAATTACTAGTATAATCAAACAGCAGGTCAGTTGGTGATAACAGTGGCTTAAGCTTAATTTGGATTGAAAAGTCATTTCTATATTGATAGTAATGGATTCAAAATAGATAGCTTCAAACTCCTCTTTTGGATAGAGAATGAGATTGGTTCAATAACTATATCTACATCAACCCACACCCATTTAAATTCAATTTAAAATTGAACTCATAATTTAGTTAATAAATAAGAAATATTATAAAAAATAGAGTAACTTCTTTTTTCCGATCCGGTGAATAAAGTCATGAACCAAATGCATATAAATTTGATAGCTAAACATGCAACCTACAAAGCACAAATATTTCGTTGAGGTCGGCGTACTCGTATCCGATAGGATCCTCGTCGGATACTCTAAGATACATATTGGATTCTCTTCCTACGTATCCGATAATTATAAAATATTTAGATACTTCACGAATATTTTTGTATCAAAGTAACACATATTTTTTAAATTTAATCTTTAATATCTCCTTTTGAATTCACATATCATATAATACATGAACAAAAATTTATACTGTTTCGAAAACACATGAGTATTTTTTAAGTATTATCTATTATTACATGTCAAAAGAGCATAAAATGAATCAATTACATTATAATCTTAGCTATAAATACTTCTAAATAAACCAAGTAAATATTACTTTTGATTCCTTTAATTAGTCACTTCATTTTCTGAATATATCATAATGATATGATATATACTTCTTCAAAACTAAAAAAAATTATTAATTTTACTTATTATGTCAAAGAATTACCAAAAGTTGGTAGATAATAGAAAAAATATGAAATATATTTTGTAATAAACATATCCAGACCATATCCATATCTTACTTTTTAAAATTTTATTGTATCGTATCGTAATCGTATCTCGTATCTATATTCGTGCTTCATATCACGCAACAAATGTATTGCACTAACAAGGTACCCCAGTGGTCACTCATTAGAATAACATTGTGACTGCGAAAAAATTTCAAGGGACTGGCTGAAAGAGTTCATGTACATTGGCAAATATCATAAACTTCTATCATATACCATATACCTATCGTCTAAGAGCATTTCCTATCATAAGATATCTTTGGTACTAACGCATCCATCACCACTACAACAGATAACCCCATGTCTTTTCCCAAACTACAAACAAGGTTCTTCATATTTATATGTATACTTTTTCTTGTTTTTGGTGGTTGGAGCTTTTTCCTTCTTTTTTTTTTTGTAGGGGCAAGGAAGAAGGTCAAGGGGACCTTGCTGCAAAATGTTGATCCTGAGTAGAGCAAAATATCATCACCACTAAAAAAGGGAAGGACACATTCCATTGTTCCTGCAAGCTATTGATGTGCAGTTTAGTAGCAACATTTTTTGTATAGAATCATGCACATAAGCTGATCATTTTAAGCACATCGGCCGGCTTGTTAAGCAAACAAAACAGATGGAAGGATTGCGGATTAGATAGGGGGGAGATGACCAATTAGTGATAAAGAAGCTCAAAAGCTAAAGTTTTGGATAAGCTAAAAAAACTATTAATATGAGGATAAAATCTGTGGTAGCCACAGATAGAATAAACAAACAACAAGCACCCACCCCCCAGGGGAAGAGAGAGGGTGTGAAGGGAAAATGAAGAGAGAAGAAGGGGGGGGGAGATTCTGGATCGAGTGAGTAAAGGTTAATATGCTACAACTTCCTGTCCATGTATATCAGGCATAGAAACATCCTTATCCTCACATCTGCAAACATCAAATAAATACCCACCAAGCATAAAAAAAAATAGATCAAGCTTGCACAAAAACATAGAGATTTTTTTTTACGAAATCTACAACGGTGCTAAAACTCACTGCTTCCCGTCTAAAACAACAAAAGTTCCAGGTCGAAGTTACATAAGCTGATGGGGTCAACTGCAACAAACTGAACTCAGATTTGTAATAATCTACACATCCAAAATCCTCATCAAGTATCCAGATGGTTAGCCACATGTCAAACACAATTCTTCAAAAGAAATATGTATAGAGAAACCTGAAAGCATAATAGTCACAAAAGGGCCAACACTGTTGAAGAATGTAAAAAAATGTAGTAGATACATAATACAGGTTTCCAACTATTTAAAGTAATTAGGAATATCCAAACCTTCCGTTGAGTCTAGGAGGGCCCAACTTCGCCAAAGCACGTTCCACTTCTTCACTAACCTGTTTAACAGCAACTGCTATATAAGACAACAGGAAGCTTGAAAACAAACAAGATCTTGCTTCAAAAAAAGTTTAACGTCAATCTTGCATGCACAACAGTTATTTGTGAACAAGAGATACCAAAGAAAACACAAACAATAATTATTATTTTCCGCAATATACATACAAATATTGAACATGCAACAAAAGTAATTCATGGGTGGTTCATATAGAGGTCGTCTATTCTCTTTTGTTGGGTGGAGGGTGGGTTTGAAGGGTTGATAAACCCAAACCGACACAAACACACACACAGAGGGAGAGAGGTTTGGCAAGGTTGACTGATACTACTGAGTGCTTGACACGTCTACACAACTTAAAAGGTTTCACATTTTGCAAGTAATTCATGACCATCAGTTAAAGATAGCTTAGCTCATGTTCCAAGTATTGCAGCCTAATTAATAGCCCGGAAAATGGATATACGAGAAATTATATGAACTCTTTTAAATGTATGATGTAAAAAATATCCCTTCCAGACACATATCTCAAAAGTATGTTTATGATGGGTTGTGTCTAGTTAGATCTGCACCAAAACGTGTGTATGTTAACCAAAACTTGAAATACATTTTTTTAAAAACTTCATCCACAAGTCATGTAAATTGTTCCAGCATCGAAGATACCCCTTAAATTATCTAAAACTTCACTTTTTTCTAGTTTATATGTCCGTTTCGTCCACATCCAAGTTGTGAGTAGCCGTTACTGTCAAGTTGAAACATACTGATGTCATGCATATATCGAAAATACTTGTCATGCCCTACTTAACCATAGATACTGGGATCGTGGATACCCAAGCGTCCCACGAACCGGGGTCACACAACCCAAAACGTGGTTGGTTCACAATCCAAATCGCTAGAATTACCAATTCCAAATTATAACCTGAATTTCAAAACCGATCTACACTCAAGGTGATTAAAAATCATAACCCTAACCATTTATTTTTTTTATTTTGGTTATTTTGATGAACTTTCAATAACATGTGATTACTACTTACTAGCTTATATTATTGAGAACTATAGTTATTAATATCGTACGATACGCGATACGTATCGTATGATACGTCACAATACATAGATAAAACGATACGAATCGAGGTTTTGTATCGTTTTTGCATAATATCGTCCAATACATGATACATTTTTACGATACGATACATATCGGTCGATACAAACGAAACGCGAAGTCTCTGTTTAAATTTTATTTTATTTTATTTTATTTTATTTAAAGCACCAAATTGTTCACAGCCTCAGAAAATAGAAAAAATGCCAAAGAAATGGCAAGAGATGAAAACAAGAATTACCCATCCATCAAACCCACAAATCAACAAAAACAACCACGAAAAGCAAATAAAATAAATTTTTGAAATTGGAAAAAATAGCAACACTAACCTGTAATTCAGATGAAACCGTAGGTTGAATTTTTACCCCAAACCTGTTAGTCGCACGATCTCTCTTCATCGCTATGAGCTGCGACCACGAGGTATGTTCTTCTTTTTCTTCTTCTTCTTCTCTCTCTCTCCGGCATCAGCATTGCCATCGCCTCTCGCCTCTCGCCTCTCGCCTCCTTCTCTGATGCCTTCGTTCATGGGTCATGAGACTCATGGACAGATATTTTATTTTTTTTTTTGGTTATAAGAATGAAAAATTACATTTACTACCCTATTACACTATAACTTTTTACTTTTAAGTATAAATAAGTACCATTAATTTAATTTGATACCCTTCATTATTTTTTTAATATTAGTAAATTATATTGGTGACTAGAATAGTAGGTGGAATATTAATGAAATGTTATGTTTTTATGAGTCTATGATTTTTTTTCAAAAGCATATATATTTTATTATTAATTATTTAAAATTGTGTCGTATCTTACGATACACGATACGATACACCTTCCGATACGCGATTTAACAACTATGTTGAAAACCATTAGCAAATACTTTGACTTGGACTATGGTCCACTTTAAAACTCTTTATCATAAATATATAATATAAAATAACTATTAGTTAACTGTGTATATATTACAATGACAGTGATCCCAATAAAAGTTACAAAGCAAAACACAATAAAAAATAGCGTACTAACTAAACCTACCCTCGTCGCACTGCATAAAGAAATAAGTATCGTACCATATACCCATACCTAGTACCAAATTGACAAGCAATCCACGTAACATTGTCCTGAACTTCACCTTTTTCTTTTGTTACACAGAGCACAAAGATCAACACACATCAATGACCCACCCACAGGAACACGACCTGCAGCACCTATCCCACTTCAACCACCATGACCCTTCACCAATTTCAAACTCAATTTTATACATGTCCAATCCAATTCAACCACCGCCAACACAATCCCGTCCATTGTCCATCCAAATCAAACCCAACTCATAAATTCACCAAAAAATAGAACCCATTCACATATTCACCAATTGTAAGAAGACGAGACCAACAACCACCAACTCCAAATGACATTGCATATGCATGCATGAGAGAGAGATATATAGAGAAGGGGGGAAATGTGGTGAGACTGCCTCACAAAGAAAAGTAAAAGTGGCAAGAGAGGGTGGAGAACAACAGCTAAGTGATTGATAAACGAGTCCTCATTGGATTCTGTTTTTTCTCAAATTAGAGCAAACCACCATTGCCACCCTTGCAGACAACCATCGCACCACCTAAGAATGCTCTGCAATTTAAACATGAACACTTCAATTCATCTCAAATTTCATCAAATCCAACCCGAAGTTCAATAGCAATTGGCATCAAACCAACCTTAATTTACCAACCAAACTCTATTTTTTAACATTTTCCATCAACCCCATCACAGTCGCAAATCTGTCCTATATGCATGTGCTTGGGTACTTCACATGACACTACCATAGGGATGGTGGTGGTGGAGAGGAAATTAAAATCAAAGAGTTCATAGAAGAATATGAAGTATTAGTGTCTTGAGATGTAAAAAAATATGCTTGCAGGGAACAAATATGCATCCAAAATTCTACAAACTGAGAGCCAACATTGTCCACACCAGATATAGATATTCTTTCTCTCTTTCTCTCAATGTGTGCTAGGCCAAAGAACTAAGGATAGCAATGTCCTAGATTACAACTACTGATACATAGGTATGCGCTCTCTCTCTCTCTCTCTCTCTCTCTCTCTCTCTGAGATAGTCATGAATGGAACAAAGGAATTAGAGGGACAAACATATAGAAAAGGAGAAAAGCAATCGACAGCGTAAAATGTGATAGACCTATTATATATGAAATATATCCCTTGGCTAATTTGGAATAACAACAATATCTATCAACTCTCTTCCGACAAATACTAACATGAGGTTTGCCTAAAGTTTAACATACAATATGGTTGTCCTTACAGATGGGCAAGGGCACGGGCACTGGTGGAATGTTCCCGACATTTCCATAACGAACTTGTCTATGATCCTCCTATTAAATGATTGCGTAGCATATCTCAAGTAAACAAGCGAAACACTTCTAATGCACACATGCATCATCTTACCCTCTGCAATTTCTAAGTTTAAAACATTCTTTTCTATATGCGTAACATGCAATTCGTAACAAAAAGTGACAACGAAGAGTAGTGCTTGGAAATGCTACTTTAGCCCTAGCTCCTCTTAATAGATCAAATAAGATAAAATTATTCAAAAAAAAAAAAAGGTCAAAATGGTATAGCTAATCTTCCTTTTCTTTATGATTATAATCTATCTAATAAGTTAGATAGTACTATAATAATGAACCTAGACACTTATAAAGAGCAAAACAAATGAAACCAATTAACACAAATATATCAAAAAATAGAGGTGAATTGTATAGACAAGAAATATTTATACTCTGTAAGATAAAAACTCGAATATAGACAAGACCAGAAGTAAATTGTGCAGACAAGAAATATTTATATATTGTAAGATAAAAACTATGACTACATCTTAAAGAAAAGAAAGGAGATTGTTACTATATAAATTATAGGACATATATACGTGATTAAAGAAGAAACAAAGATGACTAACCCACAGTACCATAAAAATCAGGTGAAGAGTTTATTTGACATATTCAACTAAAGCAGCTAAAAACTGTACAACCTGTTCCAGATAGCAATTTACCTGCTGGTATTTAAATGAAGAGAGTATTACAATTACATGAAGAGTCCTAATTTCAGTGCAAGAAATGATAACCCAAATAAATAAGGCGTGAAAACGTAGTAACCACTCTTCAAGCATAAACTTATAAAGTGAGTAGGTATATATCTTACAACTCTGCGAAGAATAGGTTCCAAGGATGAGCAAAGCTTTTGGAGACTGTCCACCTTCAGAGCTTCCACAATTACACTGCATAAAACAAATCCCTTTTTCAGGGAAAGAAATATGCAACCTTTTTTGCCCCATATTGATACGTAGAACAGAAATATAATAATAAACACACTATGATAAGGTCAAAGGAACAACAATTTAAAAAACCCCTAATTTTTAGGTCCATAAATCAATAATGATATATCCTCTTCCAACCAGAGCCAACTTTTTGGTCAGCAAAGTACTTAAAAATTTAAGACAACAGAGCGAAAACTGACAGAATTTTCTGGTCAACCAAATGATTAGCAATTTTTATACTGTAATAGCGAGCTAGCATCATAAGGTTAAAAATAATTTGTAAAAACTAAAAAGTAAATTCAAACAGCAAAGTAGACATGCACTTGCACAACCCACAAACATAAGATGAACGAAACAAAGACCTCCAAAGCACCCTAAAAAAAACTACCACAGAAAAAGTAATGTAACTTAATCTCTACACGAACTCAAGCTACAGTTTTCTTTTGGCAACACTACTTATGGAGATGTGCAGTGTTGACTTTGTTGCGAGTAATATGGCTGGAAAGAAATAGGTGTATTTTTTAAGATAATGAGCCTCCTTGGGAAGATTTGTGAGCAAGAATCTCTTTCTTGGCATCTCTTTGAGTATCAACGTCCAAGGACTTCAAAGGGGTTCCAATATTTTTAATGAAAGATCTTTGAGCTCAAGTTTGTGATTAGAGCTGTCACACAATTCCCTCACTTTTTTATTTTTTATTTTTCTGTATTTTTAGCCTGTTAAGCTTTCTTTTTTTTCTCTCTTCATGCATTCATTGAGAACTGCTTGTCGTCCCATATACTTATAATATTTTCTCATTTACTGTCAAAAAACAGAAAAAAGAAACAAATGAGAGACAAAAAGGCAAAAATGAAGTGGATCAAGCAAGATGATAGTAACTCTAAATTGTTTCATAAAGTTGCTAATGAAAAAAGGAAGAAAAAGTTGATTGCTAGGATTGAGACCAAGTCAAGGGAATTGCTTAAGTGTGAGAATCTCATCATCTCAAAGGTTGTTAACTATTTTTCCAAGTTATATTCTTCTAAGAATATTGAAAGTCCTTGTATTGAAGGGTTGCATTGGTGTCCCATTAGTGAGAGTACGACAAGATGGCTTGAGAGACCTTTTAAGGAATATTAAATAAAATATAAAGCCTGAGTTAAGTGGTGATAAATCTCTAGACCCAGATGCTATTGAAAGTTTTTGAGTAGTTCTTTGAGAATAGTGTTTTCAATTCGTGCGCTAATGCCACCTTTATCGTCTTATTCCAAAGAAAGAGACATCATTTGTGGTTAAGTACTTTCGGTCAATAAGCTTAGTTTCTGGTCTTTATAAGATTATGGCCAAAGTCTGTTCTAGGAGAAGCCAGGAAATATTACACGAAACTATTTTAGGCTCTCTAGGTGCTTTTGTTAAAGGGAGGCAAATTTTGGGTGTAGCATTTGTTCCTAATGAGATAGCTGAAGAGTACAGGGAGAAAAAAAAAAAAGGAAGGTCTTGTGTTCAAGGTTGACTTTGAAAAAGCTCATGATATGGTAGATTAGGATTTTTGGAGTATGACGAGTAGGAAAAGTTTTGATTTGAGATGGAGAAAGTGAACTATGGGATGTCTTAGATCACTAAATTTATGTCATTATAAATGGAGCTCCAAAATGCTGATTTAGAGCTAGTAGAGGTCTTAGGGCAAAGATTATCCCTTTCCCCTTTAATATTCAGCTTGGTGGTTGATGTTTTGTGTAGGATAATGGATAGGGTCAGTAATATAGATGTGGACGAGGGGTTTAAGATAGGGCAACAGAGAGTATAGGTAAGTCATTTGCAATTTGTAGATGATATCATCTTCTTTTATAATGGAGACGAAAAGAATGATCACTCAATTACCTTAAAATTGAAATGTTTGGGAGCCAGCAATTCATAAGACTTGATGGGCGGAAAAAAGCCTTTTTGGTCATGGGTGTGTAGACTTGTTTTAACTCACCGTGTGCTTGAGAATATTACAATTTATGTTATGTCGTTGTTAAGGCTGCCTTTGAAAGTTGAGAAAATGATGGTAGATTTTTTTGTGAGAAGGTAATGATGCAGGCAAGAAAGATCATCTAGTAAGTTGGGATAAGGAAGGTCTTGCATTGGGTAGCCTAAAAGCTAGAAATATTACTTTACTTGGTAAATAGCTTTGGAGACTCCCACTGAGCACAACAAATATGGGATATATATATATGTGACAATAGGTGGGAACCTACAGTGAGTGAAAGGAGTTCTTCACTTGTCCTTGGTGTCCTTGGAAATTCAATCACACGGACTATCACTTTTTCACAAAACTGCATGTATGTTATAGATAACGGGAAAAAAGTTCACTTTTTTTTTTGGGTGGGCGAGTCTTTGTTCGCATCCTTGTTTCCTCGTTCCCTCGTTTATAGAGGTTATCTAGATCTCATTATTCATACATTGCTAGTAGGGCGTCTCTGAATTTCTTCATGATGATTGGAGCTTTAACTTTTTAAGAAACTAAAGAGATAGAGAAATGGATGAATTGTCTTCTCTTTTGGGTATTCTTGATTATATTGTTTTGAAACAAAATTCCTTGGATAGAAGAAGTTAGAACCTTTCTTCTATGGGTGAGTATTCTTGCAAATCTTTCTTTGATTCTTTAATTGATAATTCATCTCCTATATTCTATTCTTTGAACCTCCTCCTTTTATTTAGAAGAGTAAGGCACATTTGAAAGTAGAAATTTTTGCACCGTTGATTACACAGAAGAAACTAAATACTAATAAAATGCTCCAAAAAATAAGGTCATCATTTTCTCTTCAACCGCAATGGTTTATCCTTTGTAAAAAAGGTGTGGAGTGAATGGACTATTTGTTTCTTCATCGTTCTTTGTCTCAAAGCTATGGAATAGACTCTTGAGTGTTGTTGGGATCCCTGAATGATTCGTAGTAGGTATGATTTGGTGCCTAGTATGAATATTGAAGGCTTTGGTTCAAGTACCAAGGCTAAGATTCTATGGAGATGTCCAATATTGACTTTGTTTTGGGTGGTTTGGTTTGAAAGGAATGGGTGGATTTTCAAGAAAACGATGGTTCATTGGGAACATCTTTAGGGATAAAGTTTCTTTCATGGCACCTCTTTTGGTGTCCACGTCCAAGGACTTTGAACAGATTCCTTTATTTTAACTAAAGACCATTGGGCCCAAGTATGCAAATATTGCTGCCACTGGTTTTTCAGTCTTCTCTTCTTATTGTAATTTTTGTTTGAAATTGTTTAGGTTTTCATTTTCTTTTTTCTTTATGTATCTATGGAGGAATCCTTGTCCACTCATGTACTACTCTCTTTTTTCACTTTTATAATATTTTATCGTTTTCTATAAATAAAAATAAAAAAAAAGTGGAAAAATGACTTTAGTATACAGGACACTTAACAAACACGACCAAATAGAAAGAAAATATAAAAGCAACCAAACAAATCCGAATATAAAATGACATGAAATGAGATAAAAATAAGTATATGGTTGCTTATAATTTAATCCAGCATATTATCCTTCACGAAGACGATATAGACCTTGGCAAAGTAGAATGGAGAAAAAGGTTCAAGTGGTCAATCCCAAATAATTGTAAAAGGATTTGTTTGGTTTGGTGGACACGCCCATTCAGTAGCCAAGTACATACTCAAAAACCAAAAAATAATCATAATAATAATACCAATTAATACCTCCATGATGATGTCATAGAATTTTCTACTAATGGGGTAATGATTACTAATCCAAATTCCTAAAGGACCATGGAGGCTTGATAGAAGTAGCAACAACAAAAGAAATTTGCAAATGCAGATATTGCCACAAAGATGCATGAAGAAGATCAACCATTAACTTCCTTCCAAACAGAAGAGAAAAAAGATGCAAAATATTACGCTGCATTAACAGGCTCTAACAATTCTCAGACTGTGGGTCACATATACAGTTAACCGCCCAACCTTTAGAAATCTTTTGATCACTAAGCTTGCAGCCAGTTTTCAAAGACAAATGGTCAACAAAATTAACATATATGGACAGTAGAAAAACTTTGTTAGGTTTTCTTTTGTGTTTATCTTTATCCAAATCCTAGGAATACTCAAAATTATCACCACTAAAAAAAATGGAAGACATCAGAGCTTGCCAAACGATATAGATCAACATTTAATTCTGTAAAAGTTACGGCACTTCAACTTTTACTATGCAATATTTTTGAAGGATTTAGGCTCCAGTAAATTCAAATTCACCAGTAACTAACACATCCCAAACTCCAAAAGTTGGAATTGAAATCTCTAACTCCAACAATCAAGATCCCAGTTACAAACAAATTACATAGTATTAAAAACTTCAAGCAAAATGACGAATTTTCAAACCACTAGTGCTAGGAGGAGTGGACTGGCTACGTCCCTAACTTTTGACATTACTTGACAAAACAAAAAGTTTTGAGCTGAAGCGAACCATGAGAAAGTAATAAAACAGAGAAGTGAGTCAATTGAAAATTCTCTGATTCTTTTGCCAAATGTATAGCTGGTTGCAAAAGCTTTTCTAATCTTCAATCACAACGCTTGCAGCTGACTTTCGAACCCAAATTTTGTGATAGAAAACGAAAGAACAATATTAAGGTTGATGGAAAATGTAAAAGTCCATGGGAGGACAAGCAGTCCTATATAGATACATAAAGAACAATGAAAAGAAAAGCCAAAACAAGCTTAAAACAAAATCAAAGTGATGCAGTAATTCAGTGACTCTTAGAACCCAAATAAGCAACAAAACTACATCTATGTGACTCTTGCAACCCAAATAAGCAACAAAACTACATCTATGAAAAACAGAAATAGAATCACTTCGTTTTGGTTGTGTCTCTCTTTAACAAAATCCTAGGAATACTCACAATCATACACACAACCATAAACAGAAGATATCAGAGCTTAATACATGATACCATATCCCATTTACTTGCGAAATAGTTTGAAGAATTGACGTTTATTACAGAATAGTTCTTGTGGTATTAGACTCCATGGAATTCAAATTCAATTTTGAAATTCACAAGTAACTATCACATTCACAAAAAAAATTCAAAAGAATGTCACTAGTACATGTACAATAAGAAAAAAGGCTTGTTACCCAGCTTGGTCCGTCCTAGTAACCGACAGTACTAGGAAGGGTGGAGGAGTTAAATCCCTTAAATTTGACTTTGTTTGCAAAAAGGGGTTTATTTAACGCAAACTATAAGATACTTACGAAAACCGAGGCCTAAATTAATAAACGAACAAAAGCAAACAAAATTTACTAATGAAAAACAACAAAAACTGTTAAATCAGAAAACTCAATAACACAACAAAACAACAGATTTACCTAGCTAAAGCAGGCCTTTTCCTCTCAGGTTGATCTTCTTCCTTTCCCTCCAAACTCCGTTTCCCTCTACTCATAGAATTGGTCCTCTCCATATACCTCGTCTGCATTTACAATATCCTGCCAAATTCCACAGATCTGAATAAAAGCACGCAAATCCCAAATCAGGCGCAAAACCTAAAACCACACTCTCTTCGCATCCACAAATTGAACCCTAATTCCACAAAACCAATCCTCAGAAAACCCTTAGTAGACTCACAAAAACATCATAAATCCCGAGAAAGTACAAATTTTATTTATGTAGACATAAAGATAGAAATATCTTGATTATTTGAACTTTTCGCAACTTCAAACAACCAAATACTACAACATACTAACCAAAGTCCCACAAAATATCGGAAAAGCAAGAAAGTGAGGGAAAATGAGAGAAAACCGAAACAAGCTGATCTATTAGTCCCAAAGTTTTACCAAATTTCACAGGCACTGAAACCCCCAATTGCGCACCAAGAAAGCAGCAAGAATGCAAGAAACTGCAGAAAAAACCCGAATGGGACACCAAGAAAATGCAAGAAAACGAGAGAAGAACAACTAAGATCCAAAATCTACACGCACGCATGTAGGTACCTGTATACGCGGTTGGTTGGGCTTTACGAGGATTCGTTTTTTGCTCACACACACACACACAGAGGGCTTTTGGGGGGTGTTCAGAGATCCACTCTGACGACTAAAAGTGGTAGTTTTTGTGTTTGGGATATTTTTGCCTGCCCTCGGAAGGGTTAAGTGACTTGTCGTGGAATCGTGGCCGTTGGTTTTGGGAGATGTAGAAAAAAAATTAGAGCTGCCACGTCAGCTTTATTTTATCCATGAAAAAGATAAATTAAAATGCTACAAAATCATAAAAACTTGCTCAATTTTCCACTTGCAATATACTCCTATGTTTTTTGTATTTATGGTAGTTACATAAATCTTGAAAATAGGATGGTGTTCAAACTCCTCAAGTATAATTTAGATAGCTGGCCCTCAGCTTTCTAATTGGACTGCCTCGAGAAAGGGTCAATCTTTTCCAAAATAAGTTTCATAGTCATTCATTCGTCTTTGACCAAATAGTAGAATCTATATTAGTGATTCTCTTTTTCACTAATCATCCATTTTCAACCAAAATGCCCTAGCAATCTTAAAAAGGCCCCTTATTATAGATAGGATGTTAACGTTTTAGTTTGATTACTGGGGTGCACTAGTCTTTTAAAAAACTTAAGAGCACGAAAAATTTATATTTTTCAGTAGAGTTGGGAACACGACAAAAGAAAGATTCCGATGACAAAAAAGAGAATGTTCCACGGTAAATCTATTTCATGTCGACGTAATATTTAAATCCTTAGAGTTTTAATTGTATTTCAATTTGGTCCTTACATCAATTTTTACCAATTTATTATAAAGGAAATGGTCTTTTGTGACAATACATGACTTGAACAAAAGGGTATATTTATCTAGTGAAAAATCTTTTACGTGTAGGCTAGATAACTTTATTTTATTTGATCTACCTAAAACTAACAAACCCGAAAAAAAAAATACAAAGTGAGAATATGAGATATATACTATATGTGTGTGTGTGAGAGAGAGAGAGAGACACCAATGTATTTGAGATATATTTTTTTGTTGAACAAATATATTCTTATGGGCAAGTCTTTGTGATGTCCTTTTGTCGTAACAAATTAATAGATCTCTATGAAAGATTGGATTGAAATTTACTTAAAACTTTAAGGATGGAATTGTTTAAATTGAAACTTTAGGCAACAAATAAAAATTATGTGCATGCTTTAAATATATAAATTGTAAATTACCCTAAAAAGATTAATAGTTTATAATACACATAACATTTAAGCGTAGATGTGAAAAAAAAACATATTAGTATCTCATGTTGTGGAGGAAAGATTAGTTGTTTTTTGTGAGTTTTGTATTAATTTGAGAGTCTAATCCTCGTTATGAGTGATGTAATTTTACCAATCATTTGGTGCTTTTTGATATTTGCATTTTTTATGTTGCTGTCAAAGATAAAAACAGTTTAGTCCTTCATTCCCTCTTAGTCTAATTTTACTGGTGAATTAGGGTCATTTGGTAATAAAATACAGGGTTATTTTGTAAGTGCATCAAAATTCAAGATGATAATATAAAATGACAAAACATTTGAGGACGTATGTGACATAGAAGTGGGATTACAATGATGGATTTCGTTTCCCTTTGCCATTCTTTTTTCTTTTGTTTATTCTTTTACGTAGTTTGCTTGAATGTATTATTTTTGATGATGCATAAATTGATATTCTGCAAGATTAACAATCAAGTATATGTAAGGGTGTAATTAATGAATAATTAATAGTAAAATAGTTAATAGTAGCAAACACACAGATTTATAGTAGTTCTGTTCGGATGACCAACTCCACTCTCGGGAATGACAACGGTGACCGGAGATCTTTATTGATGAATAAAAGCCATAGAAAAAATACACTTCTGGAGTGTTACAATGCTTTGAGAGAGAGAAACTAAAGAGGTGTATGAGCTGTTGAGGTGTCTCGAAGTCTCAAGGTGATGTCCTTTATGTGGAGAAGACTTATATTATATAAGTATGGTGAGGTGGTGAGGTGAGGCTGTCACTACTTTTTGGTAAGTACAATTAAGATAAAATTAAATCTTCATGAATGCATATCCCAATATTCTCTCCCGTGTGCTCCTATCCTCTGAATTTTTCTGGATCCTGAGCTGGGCTGGGATTGGCAAGGTGAGGAAGGATATCACTGGGGCGGTGCTAAGGAAGAGAACATGGAACAAAGGAGAGCCAAGGGACTCTATGGGGGGCGTTAGGTGCTTATGGGCGACTCCTTTGGCCATTGGTGACTTGGGCTCCTCTTAGTTTATTTTTATTAGGTCTGACCCAATTGATTTTAGGCTCCTCAATTATGACCAAAGAAATTAAAAACAAATGGAGGTATGGTGCAAGTATGACTGACAATTCTTAACGAATTTGAATCGACTAACCAAATTTTAGTTAATAAATAGGTCGACACAAATTTGATTATACATAAAGAACTTATACAAAATACATATGTATTATCATGAGTGAGTTGTCTATGGGTTAAACAAACTTGAACATAAAACTTATTATACACATCAGGAATTGAATTAGACGTGATCCAATTCCAAACTCGATATGACAAGACTTGGTATCACCCCTAGTTGCATGCCAATATAGAGCTTCCTCTATGGGCAATATTTCTTCTCTCTTCCTATCTTCACCAGTCACTTACCAGACTTTCCATTTACTTCTTTACAACTAGACATTGAAGACTTGGAATACTACTAGAGCCCAAAGCCGTATGGAATGTTTTTTCCACCGTTCCTCCCCGGATTCCTTTGATAAACATTTTTCAAAGTATTTTTTAACTTTTTTAAACAAAAAAAAAATTTAAAAAAGAAGTAAAACACGTTTGTTAATGCAAAAAGTATTTTTTAAAAACAAAAAAAATATGTTTTTAACTATGTAGAATGCATGTTCATTTTAAAAAAAAACAAGCGCATCTCCTACTAGTTAATGGTACATGCTATAACAAGAAAAGAAATGAAGGAAAAGCTGCAATAGCAATACTAATTGTTCTATTGCAACCTTTAAGAATGGTCTATTGGTCAAGTCTATCTTTTTATAAGCAAAATGTCTCAAGTTTGATACTTTTAACACCCTTTAAGGTCAGCCCACTTATTTTTAAACTAATTCGAGTTACGGTGAACAACTTAAAGTTAAAAAAAAATAGTCAACACAAACTTAGAAGCCCTGTAGCAAAAAAAAAAAAATTGTAATATTGCAAAAGTATTTCTTTTGGTATTTCCAAACTTCATTAAGTATAAGTAGTATAAATAGTGGCAACTTTCCATATGATTCGACAGCTGAACGAAGCATGAAAATGACAACAACGAACACGACAAATAATGGATTAAATAAAGATTCAGCATGAATAACCCTATTTTGGCATGATAGACCAGTTAAATTAATATTTTGTCATACAAATGTATGTTAGTTCAAGTTAACTTTGCTGGAATGATTTTTAATTTATGAAGCGTTGGGTTTGGTTCGGAAAGTAATCTTAGCCCTACAATTTCTAGTTCGTAGTTACGCAATACATAAGCACACTACGGACCCAACATTACACGTACATAAAAGGACACAACCCGAATATGACAAGACCCGACTAGATTTGAACAACCAACAGGAAACTCAAAATCTGCTAATGTAAAAGAATAAGTTTGTGAGAGTCAGATATCATGTATCATTAACAACTAAAATTTAACCCTTGTGTAATTGGCTTGTTTTCAAGTTTGCTTGGCTGAACTCCTCTAGCCTTTGATAAAGCTTCTCTAGTAGGCTGCGGCAGATCTGAGGAGAAGTGCAAGGCCCGCACATGAGATAAATGACATTGCCCAGGGGTCTCATGTAAATGCCATCTTCACGGAGCTTCTGAACAAGAGAGTTTGCGTATAGCGATGCATACCTGCCAAAACCCCCGACCCATCAGTCAAAAATTAACTGGAACAAGAAAGCAACGGACACCATATGCAGTGAAAAAACAATGCCATTCCATTGAAATATTAAAAAAAGTGAACTATGGAGAGCTTTCAGTTTATACTTAAACCACAATTAAAACAACGCAATACAATATCAAGTTTCATACTGCAACATAAATTGTTGGAGAGAGGCATTGCTGTCAGAACCACCAAAAATAAGATAAACACAATGCATGCACAAAACACTAAGGTTAAGAAGTGGACACAACAAGAATCAGATGCACAAGCAAAGCATCAAGCATTTCTGAACTCCCTCATCATGAATCCCAAAAATCAACCAGTCGTGATTAATATGGTACATACAATTGGTTAATATGTTATTTGTACAATTAACCAAATGAACGAGAAGCTCAATAAATCCTCTATGAAACAACTTTAGATTAATAGTTATGCCTTGAAGATGTTAAAAACCAGAAGAATGCATGCTATATGTAAAAAGGATATATGACGTAGAGGAAAGTTTCACAACACACTTCAACTTATTCTTTTTTGAGTTCCTGATTGATGGTTCACTAGTTACCATTTTCTCTGCCTCATTTGATGATATGGAAGACAAAGGTGCCTAGTGAGATGAAAGTTCGTGCATGGACAATTGGGCATGGTAAAATTAATACTAATGATATGTTTCAAAGAAGAAGACCTCAAACTTGTCTTTCTCCACAGTGGTGTGCTAAGTGCTGTGGTGATTGCAAAAGTATTAATCATTTGTTCCTACATTTGCCCTATTCCTTTATATTTGTGGAACAAGTTGTTTTCACTGGCAGGTTTGAGTTGGGTTCCTCCTTGGTCTTTCTCCACTTTGTTTGTGGAGGACTTTAAAGGATTTGGACATAAATCTGAAGGAGTTACACGATGTGGGCTATTTGGTTGGAGAAGAATGCCTGAATCTTTGAAGAAAGATGGGAGAGCGTAGATGGTCTATGGAACTGAATTGTTTTCTTGGCTTCGGTTTGGGCATCAGTCCCTAAAGATTTCGAAGGAATTCCACTTTTTTGTAATTTTTGTGGGATGGAGGGCAGTTTTTGATTTATAGTTGTTGGACCTCACTTAAGTTGTCCTTTGATTTTTGTCTTGTATCTTATCACTTGAGGGTTGGACTTCTTGTCCAACTTCTCTTTTTATGATGTACTTTTTCGTATTATTACGAATATAATAATGGATTCTCAAAAAAAAAAAAAAGTCTTCGACTTATTGTTGGAAAGAGTATGACAAACTAGAATTGTCACAGAGCGGCTAATAACAATGTTCCCCCTAAAAGTGTGGTAGGTTAATCCTTAAAAGTGATACAAGCATACATCACTGTTGTAAATGTGGCATCTGAGTACGAAATTAAATTAGGTCAAAGTTAGGAAGCAAGTTAGGAGATAATACCCAGCATTACAGCCTTCAGCTCGAAGTTCTACGGCACAAAGGGTTCCCAACGCAACAACTCTTTGGATTGCTGGAAGTAATGAGATATTCTGAACTAGTTCCAAATCCCATAACTGCAACCATTCAAAAGCCAAAAGCAATTATGCAAAAATGATAAGGAACACAATTAGAGCATGATGTCTACCAATTATTATTTGAACATGATTGTACTCGTTTGTCTGAATCTTCTTTTCAAAAATATCTCACTTTTTCTATCATGTTCTACTGTTGTAATCAAAATTTAAAATATTGGGCTTATGCATTTGATAAAAACCATGTGAGGATGCTAACATATGATACCAGCCCATCACTCTGTCCATTCAAGGTAAAAGGAAACCAAAAAAAGGAAAAAATAAGAAAAATCACACCCTCATTGCGCAAATATGAAATCAGAGCTGACAAGTTCGAAGGAAAATATGTTCCCAAGAGCTGGAAAAACAGGGCTAGGAAAGGCAGTAGCTCAATCCCTACCCACCTACACAATGGGCTGTTTCAAAATTACCAGAATACTTGAGCTCCAATTCGGAACACATGTTATAACTTATGGTGGGGTTCAAAAGAGGTGGAGAAAAAGATCCATTCGGATAGCTAGAAAAGATCCCGCAGGAGAAGGGAGAGGGGCAATGTTCTTTTAGCTATAACAGCTTCTATGTTAGCTCTTCTTGCTAAGCAAACTTGGAGAATCTACCAGAATCCACAGTCACTGCTGCATCATGTTTTTTAAGCCAAATTGCTTCATACTCCTTTTTGAAACTAGCCTTGGCCTAGGCCCTCTTGCACATAGCGCAGCATCTTAGAGGCAAAGAACGTGATACTATGTGGATCAAGATGGAGAATCGGGAATGGAAATAATGTGCATACCTGGCAGTTCAGGTGAATATCTACCCCTACAACTCCTAAGGTAAATCAATCCCTGCTAATTCCTAGCGTGCACACGCAAAGGTGAACTGCTTAGTTGACATGGACCTGCACAACCAGAAGGGCTAATTAATTTAAAAAGTGTTCTGGCCATATGAAACCAAAACAATTTAAGTTCATCCCTCTGGGTGATACTTTGCTTGACGACAAGTTGATATAGGACCAAGGGTTTGTGTTTCTGCTCGAACTGCATATCAGCTGATTATGGAGCTAAATTTACTCAAAAATGAAAGGGCTGAAGTGGAAACATCCAGCAGTGCAGGTTCAAGCAACTGTAAATTCTCATGGCACCTAAAAGTACCAAAGAAATTAAGATATTTGCATGGCGGGTTGGCCCAATGCATTGCCCACTAATGCCAACCTGAATTTAGAAAGAATTCTGGTGAACAAACTATGATTCTGTGTACATGGTGGTGGTTATGAATTAAATACTAACCCACAAAAAACCATATCATTGACCCAGGTATGTGACTGGAGGTAATCCACATGGTTGGTTGTTAGGGTAAATTTTTCGAGACAACTCTCTAACAAGACTTAGAGGTCGATCACATAATACACACATGCATTCCTCCGCTTACTCTATCTTGCTTTAATTCTAAGATTAACATCCTCTCAAATTCCCCATATTTAACTGCAAATATCCCACTTTCTTTATAACATCAAAATACAAAATTATCCACTCTTTGGTATCTTTTGATCTTCAATTTTTACAACCTCCCCTAGTTCAATTGCTACTATTACTTACTTTACATTCATATATTTAGTTTTACTTCTACTAGTCGTGGATACTCTTGATGCTAAATCTTTTTTCCAAACGTTTACTTTAGCATTAATTCCTACTTTACTTTCATGAAGCAATATTATATCAGCAACATATAATATACACCTTAAAAGCTCATCATGAATGTGTTGAAGGCAAAGATGTACAAAATTAAAGTAGAACTTTGATGTAAGCCTACCTAGAATAAAAGAATAAGATGTTTGATACACACATTAATCAATATTATGGGAACCTGAAGTATTGCAGGACAGGTGATTCTCAATTTTTGTCAAGGCAGTTCTACTTAAAACATCTTTCTTGCTCCTTTCAAAATCACAAGATTATTTAACAAACGCATCCAGAGACTTACCTAACACAAAATTTTTGTACCCAAAAGCTCGGGAACAACTCTTCTACAAGCAGGAGAGGGCAAAGTCTCCGTTCCAGTTAGCAGTGGATGCCCTTACTGGGCAAATGACCAAGTTTTAAGCCTCCCTACTCCCTTCCCAAATGCATATATGATGTGCTCAAATTTAACAAAAGAAAAAATACATAGTGTGGAGTAAATGCAACAGATACAGGAACTGATGATAACCAAAAAAAAAGAGAGAATAAAAACATGAGCAAACAGATTTCCAAATACCTCCTTCAGAAATCCTCCTTCAGAAGCAAGATTTAAGTTTGTTTGGACGTCCTTAAACCATTTGATGGATTTAGCAGCAGCTGTACATCCCATAGCATGTGCAGAGTACGAGTGTCCATGCAAAAGGGCTTTAAGCTGAAACCAGAGCAAATCCACAGGATTACTAAGGATGGCCAAGGCCACAGGATTACTAAAGATGGCCAAGGCCCACCTGAGTTTTGAAAATTGTCATTTTGACCCCCTTCATTTTTCCTTTTTTGTTAGTTTTCAAGATAAAATTAGGTTGGTCCCTCTTAAATATGGATTTTTTCATTGTGCCCTCTCTAACTCTCTTAAACCTATTTTAATTTTGTTACACTTCTAGTTGGCTGCCCTAGTTTTGAACTTTTTGGCTTTATCCCTTCATACATATACACACATACCGAACTCCTTTGCAAATGAAGTAAGTTTTGAGTTTAGATTTGGATTTGGCACATCACCATGTTCTGTAAATATGGACGAGTGTTGAGTGTCAACAAGAACAGAGTGTCAAACACGGAATACCCTGATAATCGATCCACACCGAACGACAACATTGGTACCTAGAGAACCACATGCATGCACCCGATTACCCCATTAAATATTAACTTAATTTACTACGGCCAAATTTTTACCGACAAAGTCTTCCTATAGGGTAGCAATGAACTTACAAAGTTGTATTTGGGGGAAAAAATATCTTTTGACATGGGATTTAATAATTATCAACTAAGATTTTTATTTATAGCTAGAAAACAATCCTAGAAAAGGAAAATTAAAAGGGTTAAAAGGGCATTCCAGTGCACAAGGCTTCTACCACTACGAGTTCTGCATAGTCCACCGAGAGTCAGATCTACATAGTATCAGGAGGAGATTCTCCCAAGTTTTGAACAGGAATTTGCTCAATTAGTGTACGGGATGCGATGAATAAGATTACAATAACGATGGCAACATGACAACAACAATGACAACCTGGAGCATGTAGCATTTGTTAGAACATCACCCAAAACCAATGGGTGGAGTGGTCCCTCAAGTATATAAACCAACCTTGGCGGTTCTAATTATTCGATTTGGGATACAAACTCTATTAACACCCTTGACCCTTCCTCATATGAAACCCGAACTCACAAGTAGGGTCAAACAAACATACACACCAAAAAATTTAAATAGGTAAGAGATTTGACCCACTAACCACCCTAGACCTAACTTTGATACCATTTTAGAGCATCCAATCTAAAATCAATTGATAATGGATGGAGTGGCCCCTCAAGTATATAAACCAACCTTGGTGGTCCTAATTATTCGATGTGAGTTACAAACTCTCTTAATAATATCTGACATAAAAAATGAAGAAAAACTTGTGTATCATTTTTGGTCAAAACCTGGAACTTAATACCTACAAAACAAAACCCCTTTTCTTGTTTTTACAAAAATATAATATTTTTCTTTAGCTTTATCTAAAATATTCTACAAATAAATTCCTCTCAAGTACTCGAGTTTTCGAGAATCATATGCACTAAAGGTTAAGGAAGTACTCAAAATTTTTTTTTTTTTGTAAAAACTTGGGCGTAACTGCCAACAATGGGAGAATAATTTCTAACACATGAACATTCATAACGATGAAGATGATTCGGGGAACAGCTCACAGGTCAACAAGAGACAGTTATCACGTGTTTATGAGCAAATAGAGATAAATGTGGAAACTGAATCGTCTCTACTAGACAGAAGAAATTCACCATCAACTTAGTGGTTTCTCAGCCTTATATTCACTGACATATGTAAAAAAGCAATGAATTGTAGGAAGGCAAGATCAAAAGAAAAGGTATACAAAAGGGCTTGTCTTTCACTCTATTGCTTGGTTAAACAGGAATGCATGGAAGAAATAAAGAAATAGTGTCCATTCATTTTATCATTGTATCCTTAGATATTCAAACAAGTTTGATGGGCAAAGGTGTAGAAGAGAAGAGATTGCCAATCCCTTCTACCCACTTGAATTAACATTGCCATGCCCCAAATTCATAAAAGCGTGATTAAAAAAAATACTTTATTTATTCCAAAAGCACATGCTAGTTTGCTGTAAAAATATCTAGAGAAGTATCTCTAGTTTAAATAAATCATTTTTTTAAAAAATTCGACAGAATTTCCTTTAAAAACTGGGCATCCAGCTAATTGGTGAGAGCTACTAGTGAGAGTATTAAACATAATAATTATACCTAACTAGTCATTCACATCATATCAACCATAAACATCTCTTCTCATGACATACACAAATAAATCATTACTGTTCAAAACCAGGATAACAAATAAAGGCCCACAAAATCCTTCCAATATCGGGTTATAATCTAATTATTCAAAATTCTTTGTCTCGAACATAATATACAGAATATCAAAAATCTTTAGAAGTAAACCATTTAAAAGGTCACAATCTATAAATATTCCCTCAAATTAATCAAGATATAAATTGTTTATAAATGCTCGATAATATACATCGTTGTGCATTATTCTTTACATACTCTAATTAAATATATAAAAATCGTAACAACTATCTTCTGCCTCAATACTCCCACTATGCAGTCCACCAACTTCTGCCCATAACTAAAAATGTTAAATGATAAGAGTGAGCAACCACACGCTCAGTAGGATAATCCTTTTCTCAAGCATATATAAAGTTTTAAATACCAACAGTTCACAATCATAATAATAGGTAATGAAATAATTTATCAATAAGTCTAGTTACACGATAAGTAGTAAGCCTTTTTGAAAGTACACTATGTATTATCATTTGAAAAACATAAGTGGAACATCAAGGACTTTACCATATTGAAACCAAATCTCAAAGTTATACTATAAAACTTTTCTTCTTGAAACATAATGCAACACCATTAATTTTATAAAGTACGAAGTCAGAAATCTTTATACAAACATGTGTATAATCAATCTGATAAAATAATTATTCTTATTTTAAACACAATTCATAAATTTGTTCTTTCCAGGCTATTTTTCAAAAATATTAATTCTACTTATTTTCACCTCAACCTCACCTTATATCAACCCACTCAAGAAGTTTGTTGAAATATTGGTCTATTAGTTTCTTGGTACCCAAAATTTATGTATGCTACCCATACGAACAAATATCATCAAACCAACACCGGTTCACGAATGAACTATCCCTGGAGAACCTTTTGGATCTTACACCCTAGGGTCTCCTCGCTCTTCTTACTTTTTAGGGGGATGTGTAAGGTACAACTTGTAATGCCACACAGGTTGTCACCGAAAATCACTACTATCAGCAATCTCCCCAGGGACTAATAGTTGTCTTGGCAACCCCCTCAAGGCCCCCAACCGTCTACTAACCCTCTACTTGTCGGTATTGAACATACAAGTTTCAAACCATAATTTTATGATCACTTTCCATTCCTAACGCCAATCACAACTTTGACATTTTTCAAAGTACATAGTTTTACAAATTCTCAAATTTTTATTTCCAACATAACACATTTTCAAAATAACTCACACACACACCAAAAATACAATTTGTACCATTTTATTGCAAATTTCGCAAATTAAATGATTGAGAAGTTATATATATCAACACCACCCTTTCCATACTTTAAAATAACTCAACAATACCCAAAATCATGGTAAAATATACTTAATCATTTCATAAAAATCAATACCTCTTTCCACAATTCATCATTTCGATACTTATAGCCACTTTGGCATTTTATCAAACACATGATAGACATCAAATCTCCAAATACACATTTACAAAGTTATATGTCAATTCTTAAGAGACAAATCAAATATATTATATACAAAATCACATATACTATAAAGAACCCAAAATCTTAAGTTCAATCAAACACCTATAACCAAAAATAAAGTTAGGGTTTCAAACCCATACTATAAAGAACCCAAAATCTTAAGTTCAATCAAACACCTATAACCAAAAATCAAGTTAGGGTTTCAAACCCATAATACCCAAATTCATTGAATGCATGTAAGTTCACAAATTCATGGCAAACTCATCATTTAATTAAGACCCATATCATGAAAACATGTATTTAACTCATACTAAACAAATAGATATAGAACATACATGAGATGCATCAATGTATATGTAAGAGAAAAGAGAACCTTACCTCAAAACTCAAGAACCTAAGCTTCACCTTCAAATATCCAAGTGGATCCAAGAATCCCAAGTCATGTTCTTAGATTTTCAAGCAAAAACTCAAGCTCTAGAGATCTTGTTCTTCCCTTTTCTCTTTTCCTTTATCTTCTACCAGGGTTCTAAGAGGTATTAGGTAAGAGCAGACTAAAATAATGGGAGAAATGGGGCTGAAATTGGGGTTTTAAAACCAACAGTCCCAAAGTTTACGTTCATAGAGCAAAAAATATATTTTTCTTCAAAATTACGGTTTTGCCACTAAAAATATCCAATTTGATCCCTATGATTACCCTAAGATTTTTCGATGTTTCGGATTCATTTTTAATGTTATTTTAACCTAAAAATATTTAGTTTATAATTTATTTCAAAACTAAAGTCAATTTACACCCAAAATACTAAAGTTATCATTTTATCCTTTTCGAACCACTATATGAGCTAAACATCTATTCTAAGGTTTTCGGACCTCCCGAATTCAATGGTAATATTGTTTTGACCTAAAAAAATTAATATATTCACTTAGTTACCCTAATCAACCTTAAACACCTCCAAAAATTAAATTTGACTCAAAAATCAATACGCCCGTAACTCAAACTTACGCGACAGTTCCTTTAACAACGATTCGAAGTTTCTCCCATCATTTTAATCATTTAAAAAAAATATTATCAAGTTAATATCATTTATAGTTATATGAAATATAGGATCTCACAAACATCATATAAGGCTGCTATCCCATTCTTAGTAGTGTGAAGTGAGAACAAATGTTATTCATTTGAATGGTCAGCTTGACACGCACACATCCATAAGAATAACGAGGAAGAACCTCAATTAGTAATGGGCACAAGCAGAATCTACTAGATCAAACTAAAGTGACTTCCCTCCAAACTCACATTTAATATTTTTCATTTGAATACTTTCATGAATAAAGAGGGAAAATTAAAAAGATTAGGCTAAGAAATGCAAGGGTTATAAAACTAAGCAAATTACGCCAGGACACTGCAAGGGATACAAAACTCATTATCAGCAACCAAATTTGGCACTCCAGGGCATAGAATCATTCAGTCATCCAGTGAATGTTCAATAAAAATCAATTTTGCCACTCATTCAAGGCCACTATATACGTCACCTTAGAATCTCCAACAAATGCATCAAACACAGCATCCGTCGCCAATGTGGCAGCCAAAGGTACAATTCCACCGGTCATCAGCTTTGCAAAGCAGGCTATATCTGGTTGACAGCCAAGTAGTCCTGCAGCAGACTGTACAGATAGATAACATCCTATCGGCCAATTGATATCAATTTGAAAATAAAATGAAATTAAGAAAAGCAGGGGCAACTAACCTCCACTCCTAATCGCCAGAAACCAGTGAAAACCTCATCAAAGATAACTGGAACATTCCGATTCCGACATTCTTTAACAAGTATACGTTGAAAAAGTGGATCAACCATTTGCATTCCGCCAGAAGCTTGTATCACTGCAAAATAATGGCAACTAAAAAAGGATATGACCCATTTTCTAGGCGTTGTTGACATGAACAAGATATCCTATGTCAAGTGGCACTCTAGGCCATTCAATACCAAACAACAAGAACACATGCCATCAAAGTAGAGAGCCAAGGAAAGCATTGAAAGTGGATCGAACCAATTCAATTGAGAAGAATCCTCTGTTCATTTTGTTCGTAGCTAACCTTCAATTATTTTTCAGGTCTAATATTATGATATTAATTACTATGAAGTGCCTTTATTCAGTGGATAGGATTCAAATAACTTTTAGGGTTTGTTTCGCTTGAAATCAAAAGACATTTTCCACTAAAATTAATTTTAAGGCATGTCTCAATTAAATCGAAAAAGTTATTTTGACATTAGTCATACTAGGTCTTAATGTTATTGAAATCAAACAGTTGTTCTGACACCAATTATTTTAGGGCATATTGATAAGCACTTAATATTGCATTATTTCATACCCTTTCACATCTAATTTAGGCTTGCCAACGAACTAACTTGTTTCACTTAGTGCGTTTTGTAGCTTAAGCCTTGATTTTAGTGTTGTAGGCATTTTAGGTATAAACATGGAGTTTTAGCATGAATATAATGGCAAGGAATAAGGTGGCAGTGAGTTTGCTCGGGTTTAGATGAAACCGGGGGTCTTGCTAAGTCAATTGAAGAAAAAAAGAAGAACTACCGGTAGGAAGTCAGTTCTACCGGTCGCTGAGCTCACAAAAGTTTACAAGATTTCATCAGAGAAGTTATACAAGTAATTGTATCACGGTCTATCGATAGTTGAAGCTATAGTACTTTTATCAGAAGAGTCTTACCAAATTAACTACCGGTAGGAGAAGCTACAGAAGTTCTTGACAGACAGAGAACTACCGGTATGTCTACCGTGCTACCGGCAAGTCGAGTCAGATATTCTTGGGAAGTTTAATTAAAGATCAAATTTTGTCAAAACTTTTGGAGATTCTTAACCTAGAAGAGGAAAATATTTTGGGATTGATATCTTTCAAAGATCTGAAGATTTTCCTTCCAACTATTATAAATAGAGACCCTTTGGAGAATCAAGGAAGATGAGGCTAGAGAATACATTTTAGGAGTTTTCTTTTACTTTCAAGACTTTGTTATTTAAAATCAATTTTTCAATACAAGCAATCAATTTCAATTCAGTCTTTACTTTTTTGCATCTGATTATGTCTTTTTTGAAGGTTTACGTCATTTTCATTATCATGAGTGAGTAGTCTTTTTTCGAATGATCTAAGGAAGGAGTTGCAAACCTATGAAGTAGGGCGTATGCCTTAAACTAGGATTTTAACGTTTATGTGATTGATTGAACATATTATGCTTTCGGAAACCTAATAGGTTTGCATACGTCCTTGTTATTTGTATGCAATTAGGCTTAGTACAAAAATTATGGTGTTTTCTGCAACCTTTAGAGTATCGATTCTTTCATCATAAATCATCTTTCAATTGCTACATTAGTTCTTTCAAAGTTTTTAGTTGAAAATCATTCGTATGTAGTAGTTTGAATACGAAAACAAATGAGTTATACATTTAAGGTAAAAACTCTTATTCATAGGTAGGATGAACTCAAAGAACTTTTTTATTTATTTTTTATCACCTTGGATTCCAATTTTTTAAATAAGAAGATGACCTTGAACTTTTGTTCAAGTTACTACACGATACCTTTCTCTTACGCTTGAGAGCTTTCATGAAAATATAACCCATTTTGAGGACAAGCATTTTTGGCGCTATTGCCAGGGACAGATCAAAAAGTTCACATGATGTTTTCATCAACATCTGGCAAATGAAAAATTGTGGTTGCCATCAGGTGAGAAATTCTTTTATCATCATGACTTGGGCATTGTGAAGGAATTGAAGATTTTTGGTCCAGAAGATATATACAAAACATGGGAGTCTTTTGCAGGTTGGTTTTTTTATGTTTTTCTGACGTATTGGTCTTGCTTTATTTTATGATCCCATAATTATTGAATTATCAGTATAGAGCAAATACACGTTCTCTTGTTGCTTTGTTCCGAGAATTTTGTAATCTTCAACTTTTCAATAGTAAAATTTTGTCGCTGGATTTCGTTTTTGGACGTAGGCTTACTTGTTAAGTCAAAGCACGTAAATCTTGTGTTCTATTTTTCTATTTCATTCATTTTTATTTTGCTTGTGACATTGGTTCATAACAAACTGATATCAAAGCTATTAGTTTCGGGATGGCTACTGTAAAATTTGAGATAGAAAAATTTGATAGTCAGAACAATTTTAATTTATGACAGATTAAGATGAAGACATTGCTTCGTCAGCAGGGTTTGACAAAGACCATTGATGGATCTTTTTCCAATGAGACAGATAAGACTAAAGTTGCTGAAATTGAAAATAAAGTACATACTACAATTCAGTTGTCTCTTGTTGATGAAGTTCTTTGTGAGGTCGTTGATGAAGACAAAGTCAAAGGGCTATGAAAAAAATTTAAGAGTTTATGTATAAAGAAGTCTTTCGCCAACCGTTTGTTTCTGAACCAACGATTGTATACACTCAAAATGAAGAAAGGTACGTCAATTACTGAATATCTTGATGAATTTAACAAAATTATTGTAGACTTGAAAAATATTGGTATTAAAATTGGGGATGGAGATCAAGCCCTTATTGTGTTATGCTCACTGACTGATTCGTTTGATAATTTTGTTAATTTGATGTTGTACAGGAAATACTCGATCTCCTTAGTTGATATGAAGTCCTCTTTGAATTTTAAGGAGTTGCATACTAAATTGAACGGTAAAAACAATGATGCTCGAAGCCGAGGGTTTGTTCATGAAGGATCGTCATGATAATTCCTCTAATAATAATAGAGGTCGAACTGTTGAAAGAAATTTAGATAAAGGAAAAGAAAATTTTGGATATCGATCACAGTCGAAGAAAGAAACCGAATAATATTGAATGTTCTATTATCACAAAATTGGTCATTAAAAACGTGATTGTTTTAAGTTGAAAAATAAAGGGAGAAAGAAAAAAATCAAATCATTCTGATTCCTCTAGTGTTGTAGAAGATACATCTTATGGTTCAGATAATATCCTTACAGTTGTTGTCTTTGAAGGAAATTTTAATGATGAATGAATTCTTGATTCAGGTTATTTCTATCATATGTGCTTTTAATAGAGATTGGTTTACCACCTATGAGTCAATCAATGGTGGTTTAGTCTTAATAAGAAATAATATTACCTGTAAGATTGTTGGAATTAAAACACATGATGGGGTTATGAGGACTTTAACAAATGTATGACATATTCTAAAATTAAAGAAGAATTTGATTTCTTTAGGTACTTTAAATTCCATTGATTATAGGTTTTCTACTGAAGGTGGAGTTATGAAAGTTTATAAGGGTTCCCTAATTCTGATGAAAGGTAAAAAAATTAATGACATTTATGTTCTTCAGGATGATATTGTGATTGGTGTAGCTGGTGTGTCATCTTCAAAAATTCCAGATTTAGATACTACCCAGTTATGACATGTGTTTGGGTCATATGACCGAGAGGAGCATGAAAGTCTTGTGTAACCAGAGTTTGTTTGGCAAACAAGAAATGAAAAAGTTGTTTTTTGTGAGCATTGTGTCTTCGTGAAACAGTGTAGAGTCGAGTTTAGTACAACTATTCACAAGATTAAAGGTACAATTGATTATATTCATTCAAACCTTTGGGGTCCTTCTCGGATTCCATATAAGGGAGGCGCTCAGTATCTTTTGACCTTTATTGATAATTGTTCAAGAAAGGTTTGGGTGTATTTTCTGAAACGCAAGAGTGATATTTTTGAGATTTTCAAGTAATGAAAATTTTTGATTGAGAAACAGACAGGCAAGAAAGTCAAGCGTATCAGAACAGATGATGATTTGAAATTTTGCAAAGGTAAATTTAATGAGTTCTGCAGAGATAAAAGCATTGTCTGACATCAAACTATCTGGTCTACTCTACAGCAAAATGGGATTACAGAGAGGATGAATATGACTCTTTTGGAGAGAGCACGTTGTATGCTCTCTAATGCAAGGTTGTTCAAGGATTTTTGAGCTGAGACTATCAGCACTGCTTGTTATTTGGTTAATTATTCGCCATCCACTGCTATTAAGTTGAAGACTCGTCCTGAAATATGGTCTGGTACTCCTGCTGATTATTCTGATTTAAAAATATTTAATTGCACTGCTTATTATCATGTGAATGATGGTAAGCTTGAGCATATGGCTAAAAAATGCATATTTATTAGTTATGCTAATAGCGTGAAAGGATATAGATTGTGATATTCTGATCCTAAATCACCTAAATTTATAGTCCGTAGGAATGTTGTATTTGATGCATATTTCATATTTCATCCGAGAAAGGAGTTTGTAGTTTCTGTGGGAAAAAACAGGATTTATAGCAAGGAAGTGGAGTTACATGGTGGAAGCTTCATAGAAAGTACTTCTTCAAGTCAATCTATTAAAGATTTGTCTAGTTCTAGTTTCGGTGATAATCCACATGAGAAGCAACAGTATAATATTGAACAGACAGGGAGAGGAGGCAAATTAGACCCCCTCAGAAATATGAGTATGCAGACTTGGTGGCTTAATGCATTGACTATAGTATAGGAGTTTGGTATTCAAGAGTCTTCCACATATTTAAAAGCTGTCACAGGTAGTGAGTCTAAACATTGGGTCGTTGCTATGACTGAAGAAATTGAATCTCTTCATAAGAACCAGACATGGGAATTAATGAAATTGCCTAACGATATGAAAGTTGTTGGTTGCAAATGGGTCTTCAAGAAAAAGAAAGGAATTTCAGAGGTTGAATCAGGAAGGTACAAGGTACGATTAGTTGCAAAAGGCTATAGTCCAAGAGAGGGTACGGACTTCAATGAAGTTTTCTCACAAATTGTGAAACATAGTAAACTTGCTTCACTATGTATGTATTGCTTGCCATGGTTGCTTCACTCAATCTAGAGCTTGAACAACTTGATGTAAAAACAACTTTTCTACATGGTGAACTTAAGAAAACTATCCACATGCATCAACTAGAGGGATTTATTATTCAAGGTGAAGAAGATCATGTTTGCTTGTTGAAGAAATAATTATATAGTTTGAAATAGTCTCCAAGGCAATGATACAAACGTTTTGACACTTTTATGGTAGATCATAGTTACTCTAGGAGTAATTATGATAGTTGTGTGTATCACATACAGTTGTCAGATAGTTTTTTTATATATTTATTGTTTTATGTGGATGATATGCTTATTGCTGCTAAAAGCATGTTAAAGATTGACAGGTTGAAGAAACAATTGAATTCAGAATTTGAGATAAAAGATTTGGGTGTTGCAAATAAAATTTTTGGTATGGAGATTCACAGGAATAGGAAAGCAGGTATGTTATATTTATCTCAAAAAAAATGTATTGAGAAAGTTATTAAGCAGTTCGGGATGCAGAGTTGGAAGCCCGTGAGTACTCCATTTGCCACTCACTTTAGGCTTAGCAGTTTTATCACCACAGAGTGAGAATAAGGAGCAGTTTATGTCTCGTGTTCCTTATTCTAGTGCAGTTGGGAATATCATGTATACTATAGTTTGTACTTGTCCAGATATTTCATAGGCAGTTAGTGTGGTTAGACGGTACATGACTGATCCTGGGAAAGTTCATTGGCAGGCTGTGAAATAGATACTTTGTTACTTGAGAGGCACTACAAATATTGGCCTAGTATTTGGTAGAAGAGATGGTTTCGATTCTACAGTTGTTGGTTATGTTGATTCAGATTATGCGGGTGATATAGATAAGAAAAGATCTCTGACAGGTTATATTTTTACTCTATTTGGGTGCACTGTAAGTTAGAGGACGATCCTATAGTTACTTTGTCTATTAAAGAGGCAGTATCAAAGACAGTTAAAGAAACAATTTAGTTAAAAGGTTTGGTCTGTGATTTGAGCTTAGAAAAGAAGGTGACTACTTTGTTTTGTGATAGTCAAAGTGAAACTATGCAATACATTTGACAAAAAATTAAATGTATCATGAAAGAACCAAGCACATTAATGTTAGATATCACTTTCTTGCGTGAGGTTATAACTCAAGGTATTGTCAGAGTGAAAAAAATTGCTACAACAGATAACCTAGCAGATATGTTTACTAAGCCGATACTAGTGCTCAAGTTCAAGCACTGCTTGGACTTGATTGGTGTTTGTACTGTTTGAGTTATACCCTTCCCGGTATTTGACGAAGACAGTGGTCAAGTTCACTTTGGTTGAATGGCTTAATGGAATATGAGGCAAAAATGATGAATTTTTTTTTTCAACTAGAGACTAGTCTAGTGTATGAAAAGAATTCTGCTTTCTTTTCCCCGCACCATGGTCCTGAGAACCTGTAGAACGTTATCAACCATGTTGAGTCTTTTATAGAACTCCCTATACAATGCCAACCCATATCCCTTTACTTCCTTGAATCACAATTTCAACCCATGATTGGTGATCTGTACGACCACATCAGAAAAGTCCAAGCCATGTTGATCCACTTCCTCTGGCCTTGCTATTGCTACTACTGATGCACCACCACCACCACCATCCACCTTTGGAGCAACATTTTCGCCGAAGGTTAGTAGGTTAGAGGAGAGGATGGTTGGCATGGGGAGATCTTAACTTGAGATGAGGAAGTTGGCTGAGAGATACGAGTAGGGATGGCAGCAGACCGGGTAAAAAATGAGCATTCGTCCAAATCCACCCCATTTAGACAGGGGATAGACTATACGTATTGGACGGTGGACGTATACGGAGATACCCTTATAAACCATACGGGGATAGACTGACACCTACCCCCACCCCTGTCTTTGTCCCGCCCCTCCCTGTCCCGCTTTACTCGTTATTATTATTATTATTATTATTATTATTATATATATATATATATATATACATGTTGTGAATACAAATTTACATATTATTGAATTCTTTTGAAAATTATTTTATTTTTTAATTTTTTCATGGTTTTGGCTTGTAAAAGTGTAGATCTTTGTATTTTTATATTTTTTATGTTGGATTATATTATATTACATTATGTTATGTTACATGATATTGTGTTGGATTTACAAGGAATAAATTTTTTTAATTATATTATGTTGGAAATGACAAACTTTTAATTATGTTATGATATTCTATAGTTATGTTGGATTATTTAAAATATTACATTTATTTAGAATTTTAGATTATGTTGGCTTGAGCTTGGACTTGGGCAGGTAAGGTAAACAAGGGTGGGGGTGGGGGCAGGGCGGGGGCGGAGATGAAGGCAGGAGCGGGGATTTACAAATTTACCCGCAGACAGGGATAGGGATGAAAATTATACCCGTTAACAAGGGGTGAACCCCACTTCGGTCCACTGTCATCCCTAGATGCGAGGGGAAGGTAGACTGACATGAAGAGGTTGCCTGAGCATATCTTCCCTGGTGAGCCTATTCCACCATACATCTTCTACTGGGGAGGATGCGGTGCTTGAAGTAGAGAGTAGTGAGAGTGATGGTGAAGAAGAAGAGACTGGTACCGATAATGATGAGGATACAGCTGAGGAGAATGATGAGGATGCAACTGAGGATAATGATGATGTTGCTAGTTGATAGGTTTTAGGATCAAGTCTTAGTAATCTAGTTTTTGTCTAAGTCTAGTAGCAAAACCTCTAGGATGTAGGCTTTAATTTTGAGTCCTTTGAGTGCCTACTATACTTGAAAGACTATGATTAGTTTTAATGAATATATCTTTTGATCTTAATGCCTTGTGTTCTTTTAGATTTATACTTTATAGTTCTATTGCTTTCATTTTCACTATGGTTGTTTTGAGAATTGGTTGTGATCCATCTTTGTTTGTTGACGTTTGCTAGGGATTATCAACGCTTAAGTTGGGGGGGGGGGGGGGTGATGTGCACTCAATATTACATTATTTCATACCCATTCACTTCCAATTTAGGCTTGCTAACTAAATAACTTGTTTTACTTAGTGCATTTTGTAGCTTAAGGCTTGATTTTGGTGTTGCAGATATTTTAGGTATAAACATGAAATTTTAGCATGGATATAATGGCAAGGAACGAGGTGGCAATGAGTTTGCTCATGATTAGATGAAGTCGGGGGCCTTGCTACGTCAATTGAAGAAAAAAAGAACTATCTACCGCTAGGAATATAGAAAGACAAGGTTCTACAGTAGGAAGTCAGTTCTATTGGTATCTGAGCTCACCAAAGTTTATAAGTTTTTATCAGAAAAGTTCTACCGGTAGTTGTATCATGTTCTACTGGTAGCTAAAACCCTCGTACTTTCATCAAAAGAGTCCTACTAAATTAACAACCTGTAGGAGAAGCTACAGAAGCTTCAGAAGTTCCTGACAGACAGAGAACTACCGGTGGGTCTACCGTGCTACTGGTAGGTCGAGGCAAATATTCCCGATAAGCTTAATTAAAGATAAGATTTTACTAAATCTTTTGAGGATTCTTAACTAATAGAAGAGGAAGATAATTTTAGGATTGATACCTTTCAAGAGCTGGAGATTTTCATTTCAACCATTATAAATAGAAAGCCTTTGAGGAATCAAGAGAGAGGAGGCTAGAGAATACAATCAATTTCAATTCAATCTTTACTTTTTTGAATCCGATTATGTCCTTGTTTAAGCTTTATGTCATTTTCATTATCATGAGTGAGTAGTCTTCTTCTGGATAATTTAAAAAAGGAGTCTCAACCCTATGAAGTAGGGCATATGCCTTAAGTTAGAGTTTTAATGTTTATGTGATTGATTGAACATGTTATGCTTTTGAAAACCTAATTGGTTTGCATACATCCCTACTATTTGTATGTAATTAGGCTTGGTAAAAATAATTGTGGTGTTTCCTGCAATCTTTAGAGTACTGATTCTTCCATCATAAACTATCTTTCAATTGCTATATTAGTTTTTTCCAAGTTTTTAGTTGAAAATCATCTGTCTTTTATAGTTTGAATACGAAAGCAAATGAGTTATAGATTTAACATAGAAACTCTTATTCATAGGTGGGACAAGTTTTGAAGATTATCCAGTTTTTCCGTTTACTGAATTTCAATTTCATTAGTAGTTAATTCTCAAAATTCTTGAATTCAAAGAGCTTTTTCATTTTATTTTTCATTACCTTGAATACCAATTCTTTCCCTGAAGAGACGACCTTGAACTTTTGTTTAAGTTACTACACGATACCTTTCTCTTAACGCTTGGAAGCTTTTGTGAAAATACAAACCCTTTGGAGGGCAAGCACGTATTATTATTATTTCAATCATGACGAAATAATGCCCGATCTGGATGAAATTTAAAAATGTTATTCTTCGCATAGAGATTTTTGCATTTGTTGGCTTTGAGTGAGGTTTAAGTAAGTGGGTTCATCAACAATCCGTCCTATCAATGCTCTATGCAAAGAGGAAAGTACCGGTGATTGTCCTGAGATTATATCCCTGTTGTTGTGTTGTTACCATTATGAAATTCAAATGAATGCCGGTTGGGAGAGTTTTACATCTATTCTGTTGCAAGTGTGTTGAGGAAGTGTGAATAGGAGCCAGACCCAACTCATGGTGGGGGGGTCATACATGTCGCTATGCCCAGCAATGCCTTGATTGAGTTGTGTAATAAATAGGTGGGGTTAAGAGCGTGGTAAATAGGGGCATGGTGGATCATTTATTTAGGAAAAATGTATGTTACCTCTGAAAGTCAGAGTACTCCTTCTGAGATGTGATTGGTTATATGTTTAATTAGGTATGTTTAACATCTTCATACCTCCTATTCTTTCATATTGTGACTTATTCTACTTAATGGCTGCTGCAAGGCTCAACCCGCTTATTTGCCATTACAGATGCAAATTCCTTTTGGAGTAAAAGTGGATTGAAATATTTGTAGAATTAAAGACTTCCGATTATTAGTATAATTTCTATAAATTTGAGATTTCGATGATAAGACTAGTTAAAAGGGGCAATTTAGTCGGGCGCGGGGTCCTGGTGGGTCCATGGCTCAGGCAAAGACAATTACCAAATTAGAAAGAAAAAGATTCATCCAACTTGACCAAATAAATAGAATAACCTTACCTGGTTCTATAATCAATGCCCCAATATGAGTAGAGCTTCTTAATCCCGCTTGTTGCAAAAGCTCTTCTGTTATGTATGACGTATAGCTAGCAGCAAGACTTGAACCATCCCTACTTGTTTTAAACACTTCATCACGCCTGATAAAGGCTGTAAAAGATGTCAACACCTGCTATGACATGATATAACTAACAAGAAAAGAAATCAGTAGATGAGACTAAAATATGCTTCACTTACACATATCTTCAACATTCAGTTCTTCAGCACGCATCCGTTGAGGAAGGCAAAGTTTCCAAATGCCATTGCACATGAAAACAGATGGGGGATCTAGAAAAAAACCTCTTCCTGTGTACCTGAAAAAATTACATAGGTACTATCAAAAACGAGAAATACAGTCTGAGCTGGCTTATTCATCGTTACAACTTATAAGACCATTTCACTTGATCAAAATCATGCAGAAGCTATTCATGGAAGTTGTGCACAAACTACTTGAATCTTCACTGCATCGATAGTCTATAAGACTATAAAATATTTTTTAAAAAGCCAATTATGTGCTCACAAGGTCAAAGATAAGTCAATATGTGCACAAACTCCCACTCAAACCTGCAAAATCAATCAAGCTGAATTTCATTCTAGTTTTTTTTCCCCATGAAGGCAGAGGGAGGGTGTTTGAACCACAATGGAAGATGAGCAAAAAAACACTAAGGCATGCATGTGTATAACTGACACTATGTCACACACCCATACCAGGTACTGCTTTATGCATCTATAGATCATTGAAAAAGAAAAAGATAACTTTTTGGATTCCTTGGGACGGCCTTCAAGATTAAGCAATAAGTGAGGGAGGCGAGGCACACCTAAAGTGGGCTCAATGTTATCATCAAGGTGCAGTCGAAACACACGGCCTGGGCTTAAGCATACGCCTTTTTTTTATCCTTCAGTGATATATTGAGTCATTAATCTATTGCCTTTGAATGGATTAATGGAATTTTGATATGCATAATGCCAGGTTAAAACTCCCCAAGTACAAGTGGCTAATTCTGATCTTAAACTATACCTGTGAACTCCACAGAACCAATCTAATCCGACTCCAAGAAAGAATACCTATTTTGGGCCATTGACCTTCGCCTTTATCTTTTTTATCTACATCATCCTCTCTCTCTCTGTCTCTCTACTTGTTCTTTTTCCTTGCTTTCTCTGATTTCTGTTTCTCTCTTGCACTTTTTCTTTTCTTTTTTTGTGAAACTAGACCTAATTTATCGAAACCAATCCCTTTTTTTAGAAAATGAAGGTCCTTTTAATTTTAATTAGCCCGTCCCTTCTACTTTTCAATCAGCCTATGTTTATGAGAAAAATAACTCCCCAACTTTGTTCGATTCTCCCTTTCTCCCCTCTTCTTATTTCTCACTCTGTTTGGCAGACTTTTTACATCCTTTTAGTGAAATATGATGTAGATATAGGTGACAGACACTCATTACTATAAAATTAACTTTCATTTGCAAAATATAGTTGTTATCTCATGTAAGTTGCTGAAATTTAAGCTAAATGTTTATTTAGGAATTGCACTAACATTTATTATATGATGATGCAATTAATTGCGTCGCTGGAGCCTGGGCCTCACCTCACACCTTGGCACAATGACACAGTGGTGCCTCTGTGCACCTTTCACCTTAACTAACTGATGTAGGACGAGAAGGACTAGAAATCACAGAATAGAAAAAGAAGAAAAAAGAAGAGGGGGTGAAAGGGATTTGTCTCATCCTCGCAAGGAATCAGTCAAAAAACACACAAATCTCCATAGAGAATACTCATTTCTAATTCATAATCTCTCTAATGAAAATAATAGATATACATCAATATTTATAGGTCAAGTCCCCTACTAAAATAAAAACTACTCTGCTACTAAAATACTAAAAGAGTTTCATAATCAAATTTTTAAATTCCTATCCTATTAAAACTCTAAAATAATTTTCTAATCAAACTCTAATTAATATTGCTAGTCAAACAAATATTTCTTAACTAATATAATAATATTAAAACAAATAATAAAATTCAATTCTTCAATTTAACCTCATCCAATCCCTTTCCGATCTCTATCCATTCTTCTCGGCCGAAAAAAACACTTCTCCGAAAAGTTGGAAGGCCACAAGGATTACAAAAAATTGGAAGAAGCTTGTGTTCCAAGAAAATAACATTATAGATCTTCATAGTAAAAAACAATCCCTTCATGCATTGCATCCATCACAGTCTTATCCACATGCACTATTATATGTGAAGGAAACATATAAACCAGTGGAGACAAAATAGAAACTCCGCCTGTAGTGGCACTCTTTGAAACTACTTTAACTTCTTCTATAAGAAGATCCTTTGAGGTCAGCTTATCAAAAGCAATTGAGGTATGATAAGGAGAACTTTTAGGGTCATCAATGGTATTTAATTTCAGCTCATCATTCAATTGAACTGGAGCTTGCGGTAGAGGAACTTGTATAAGTACCTGTGGAGGATTGATGATTGAAGATAATGGACTATTATCGGTGTTTTTCTCAACTCCTTTACCCTTCTTATCTAAGAGATAAACTTCTATGATCTCTTGATGCTATAGACGCCTTTAGTGAATCCATCCTCTCATTTATGGCCTTTTGTGAATCAACTAGTACTTGGGATAAAGCCTCCACTTTAGCATTTAATTCGATATTGGAAACCATATTGATTGGAAGAGAATTTTAAAAACTTTACTTCTTTTTTTTGAGAATTTTAAGAAATTTTGAGGTCAATTTGTAATTTCAGAAAATTTTGGGGTCAAAGTGTAATTTCTAAAACTTTTGGGGGTGAGAGTGTAATTTTAGAAACTCCAGGGTCAACTATATATTTTAGAAAGGCTTGGGGATGTATCTGTAATTTCATGGGTATGGTATGAGAACTGGTTTTTGTGTTATGGGTTTTATGTAAGGGGCGGTGGATATTTTTTTGGTCGGACCATGGTTACAACAATTCACTAAACCTTTAACGACCCATGATCTAGGTTCATCGGTCTGAAACGTGGTGAGTTCGCAATCCAGATCACCAAAATTGACGACCTCAAATTACAATACTAACCCTAAATTAATTCGTTTTAGAACATGTAGCACAAATATAAAATACATATTAATTGACTGCATGTATATATATTTATAATTATATATTGTTTTAGATAATAGAAAATCAAGTACAATTATAAGATAAATGGTAACTAATTTAGTGTTTTGTAATATATAATGTTGTATAGTAGTGAAAACGATCTACATAAGAGTTCCAAAATGAATTAAAACCCAAAATACCGTACCGGCTAAACCTACCCCCATCGTACCACGTACCTAAGAAAGTGTCGTACCATGTACCCGTACCTAGATCACGTACCAAAGCGATCCACGATCCAGGAAATCACATAATAGAAAGAAAAGAAGAAAGAAGAGGGGGTGGAAGAGATTTACCATATCTTCGCAAGGAATCGATCAAGAAACACACAAATCTCTTGAGAGAATACTCATTCTTATTCATAATCTCTCTAATGAAAATAGTAGGGATACATCAATATTTATAAGTCAAGTCCCCTTCTAAAATAAAAACTACTCTTCTACTAAAATATTAAAAGAGTTTAATAATCAAACTCTTAAATTCCTATCCTACTAAAACTCTATAATAATTTTCTAATCAAACTCTAACTAATACTCCTTGTCAAACAAATATTTCCTAACTAATATAATATTAGGAAAATAAATAATAAAATTCAATTCTTCAATTTAAGTTCATCCAATCCCTTTTTGATCTCTATTACTAATACTGCCTCTGCCAATTGATGTCTTCTCTCTCGCACTGACTATGTTTCAGATCATACATGTGTTTAGGACACTGTTTCAAGGAATTCTCTCAAAAAAATAAACATCCATTTGCCTACTGCCTACATAAGAATACTAGATATCTTAGGCCTAAAACAATTAATAGAAGGAGCATTAGTTCCAAATTAGAAAAACTTCATGGTTTAGTAGAACTTCAATAAAAGCATATATTTGTTCAAAAAAAAAAAAATACAAATACAAGCATATATGCTAAGAAGTACCCATACCATGGATGCTGGAAAAAGCCAGTATAAGATGATGGTGCCTGTGCTTCCATAGCACCCAAAGTATCACCATGATAAGATCCTCTAAGAGCTAAGACCTGATTTAAAAGAAATAGAAAACAGAGTTATTTCCCCTCCTAAGTTATAAGCATATACCTGTTAAAATCGGTACAACTCTATTCAACAATCCAACTTTAAAGTTACATTAGCCTTGTACTTGATGTGTCACAAAAGTAATAACTAATTGGAACTTGATGGGTAAATGGGTATCCATGGTACGTATGTAACATCAAAAATGGACTTCTACATCTTTTCCATAAAATAAGTAAAGACCGAAGCCAATAGATAAACAAAAAGGCAACACAGTGCACGAGACTCCTATCATTGCGGAGTTTGACGAGGGTTCGATATATGCCGTCTTAGCCCCATGTGCAGAGAAATTTGTTTCCATGACTGGAACTTGTGTTGTAAACTTGAGAGATTTGTTTCGATGACTCAAAATTGTGATGTCCAGTTCACAATGGAATATAATCTTAATGGAAACAATAAATATATGTATGTTGAATTGTGCTCTACGCAGTGATATCCATCTCCTATGTAACTTTAAGGGCAAAGCATGAAATACCCTTGAATGGAAGGGGAGAAAAAATAAAGATAAAATACTTAATGTCATATTTTTACAACTTCACATGCTCGAGATGCCACAATAAAAGAATAGGTATAACATGTAACTTAGAACCTAAAGCTAACTTCCAAAACCAAGTGCCATATTGGAAAAAAGCATATTCACATACATTCACCCAGTGAATTTCAAAAGTAAAACAATACAAGCCTACAACACACAGGCCCCAAGGAAGCAATTTTACCATTTTTTATTTCTTCCATTGTTTTGGGCAACTTACTTGGCAAAAGGTCATGTACACATGAGATTTCAAACAGTGTAATACTCTATTACCACTGAATGATAGAAAATAATCTAAAGTAATATGAAGGATGCCTAGTGACTTGGCGTAGAATCAGTACAACCCACAGATTCTTGGCCTAGATTTTACATATAGCAAGAGTTCAACCATAAGACCACAAAATGATTGTACATTCTACCACTTATCCTTTGATATCTCCTAGGCATAGCCTCCTACCATGTATGACATCCAAATATCCAGATGTGAAATTCAAGCACTTGTAATCTTCCTTTTTTCCATTTAATTTTCTTTTCAAATAAGGCAACCACAAACGTAATCTCAGCTATACATTATTTCCTTTGGATAGCATCCATAATAAATATCGATGCTTCATTTATATAACACCCTAAAGTACAATCCATCTTCCAGCCTAGGAGTTGCTTCAATACAGTCCTCACCTAATAACACAAATTGATCTTTTGTCTTGTTGATCTGACCAAACTTAACGCCAGACATTAAAGAGGAGGATACAATAGGATGCCTGAGCTGCATTAATATAGTCCTAAAAAGATCTGTCATACCTTAAACTCAATACAACTTTGAGCAGTGTTAGACTTCAGATGATCCCAAACAATCCCATGATCAAACACAAATTTGCGAAATGCCATCTTCAAAGCAATTTCAATTGCCGTGGATCCATTATCTGAGAAAAATGTTCGAGAAGCCCATCCTACAAAGGAAACAAGACTGTCTAATGTTACCACTGGGCGTCAATAGAAATTTTCATCAGCAATGCAACGTTTATATGAAATTGTATTTTATCATTAATTTTTAACACAATTAAAGAAGGGAGGAAGGGAGGGAGGGAGAGATCAACAATAAGAATTGTACACATTTATTCAATAAAATGGCAAATGTAATATAGAATTGATCATAAATATCATAATCCAAAACTACAGAATATGCAATGTAGTACTAGATTGTGCCTATCAAGCAATGGTTGGTCGTTGAGCCTAAATGTTTATACTCGGCTAAATGTGTCAATGAGGGCCCTATTTGATGAGTTAAACTATAGGTCATCTTCCTCTTCTGTTTTGAGAAGTTCTTTCATTAAGTTTTCATTCCATTAATTTATAAAACCTTTAATTTCGAAAGCATCAAGTAAAGAAGAATGGCAACTAGGGGGTGAATCAAACTACTACCAAGTACATACAATTCAATGAATTATCTAGAGCTGTTTAATCATGCTATGTTTGGGTTGTCATGTTCACCATGTGTCAGTAACCAAAGTACAAAAATCAAAGCATTTAGGTGTAAACTGATTTATGAAACAGGAAAACTACATTATGTTTCTAGTTTGGCACTCAGATTATGAATCCAAGTTGGTCTGCAACAAAACTGGCATATTATAGATGATTAGCTTCAGGAAGCCAAATTATTACACCAAGCAAAAATGAAACCTTATTTGATAGCTCTTTGAACTCCCTTGTTGTAGCATAGCATATTCAAATACATAAATTTGTTGAGATCATAACAACGAGGACATATACGTACTCTCCTTTTACTAGTGGGTATGTTTGCTCTCTTTGCATGATTGTCACCGCTATTCTCTCTGTTCTTACTTTCAATTATGCAACCCATAGACGACATTAATGTCTTGAACATTGGATTAGAATTAGCTGATAGAAAAAAAGTAGGGCAGAATAACATGGCAGGTGAAATGCAAAATCATAGGCAACAAAACATAAGTTTTTATAGAAACCATTGCGAAAAGCTAAAAAAAAATAGAGGTACAAGCTCCACACAAGCTGCAGGAGAATAAAGAATTTATTATATTGTATTCCAACTAGCCATCAAGCTGTATCTTTGGAACAAGTAGACAAGAGACGCAAACGTGGAGTTCATTAATCAAGTACGTTAACCTCAACAATCTAAAATTTTGCATAACTTATACAAAAACATTACCAAAAATCTTACTCATGGAACTTAAGCAACGAGCAAAAGAACTAACCTTTCCCCACTCCATCAAGCAAAAGTTCTGCACATTCTAGAGCCGGCTCATAAACATTCTCAGGGAACATTACATGCCCGAATCTTGCAGCAGCATAACCCATATCTCTAGCGAGTTCAATCTGAAACCACCTAAAAACATAGCCACGGTAAAGAAAAACTTACACATATGCTGCACTGAGTTTACCCAAGGTAAATTCTCTCAGGGACAAGAAAGGGAGATCAAGATTTATTCATTCACTCTGACATCAACTTACAAAAGTATTTGTTGAAATGAGAGTGAGGAAAGAAGAGCAAGAAAATCTATACCAAAGTGAAAATAATTGTACCTCACTGGAATGAGATGAAAGAGAATAACTGAAAAGACAAGGGGGAGAACTAAATTGAATTAAAGGATTTAGTGTTTACTGTTGTTAGTGATGGCAGATTATTTGTTGTCCTTGTATTTAGACTGTACATATTTTCTTGGCTTACAATTGGACTTGATAAATTGCATGATTTTCTATGTGGAGGAAATGCCACTTTAACAAGGCACCTCAAAGCCTCCTGTCGTACTTGTAAGTGTGTTTACAAGTCAAGTTGCCTTTTTTACAGCACCAATTCTTATGCTTCCTTCACCGTTGTCCACATGCATAGACAAAAAGATGCTATGGAGAGTCAAGATGATGCTCCAAGGGTGACCTGATGCTATCTCATTAGAGGAAGAGATTGTTCTGAAGTGATGATGGTTGAAGATGTGACTTGCTTTCTTGACCTATAAATAGGCCTCATCGGTAATGGCGTGATTACTTTTTGCCATAATGATTTCTAGGGTTGATTTTCCTAGCCTATGAATGTAAGTATTGTTTTATTAGTTTTTTTTTTCAGTGTTTACTAGGATTGTCTAGCATTGCACATGAATAGGCCTCTTCTATAATGGGATGATTAGTCTTTTTGTTACTGATTGTTACTATTTTTTACTAGTTGTACTTCTTTCTCAAACTTGTAAGGAATGGATAAAAGAGTCATGCTCGCTTGATGCGCTTAGCATTTAATTAGATATTAAGCCTGTGGCAAGGTCTAGCCCAACAATCACAGCGTAACTCCATACCAGTTATCTAATGTCTTTTTGTATTCTTACTCTTTTTTTCCTTTCTTTGTATTTCTTTATTTTCTTTCACATTAATTCCCTCAATTTTATATTCCTGCAAACAGCAAATTGTCCTATTCGTCTTGAATCGGCTAGGCATTCAACCTAAAGAATCATGGAAACTAGAACTGTTAAGAACTAAAAATAAGCAAAATCTGACCTGTAAAGTAGCATCAGGTCCTTGTGTCCACCAACTTGCACAAGCATCAAATTGTTGAGAAATTAAACCATAATTTTGGACCTATATCCAAGACATGTAAATTAAATTGGGATGTGAAAGCAATTCTAAAATTCAGTGGATGAATGTTAAAAAATGAGAATGTGTGTGGAATCTGTCTAAATTGAGTAATTGTGAATCAACAAATTGCAGTCAATTGAACCATTTCTTATCCTTTTAAATCAGTAACCAAAGAAAGTTCAACAATTAATATTAAAAGACAAAACATGTTGCCATTCAATACTCAATAGTAAAAATGACTTGTGCAACCAACACGTGTTTCAAAGCAAACCTTGTGAACTGCAAAATTTTCGCCACAACGTGAATCTATTACTGTAACATTTTCTTCGGGTACAAGTTTGTGCTGAGTAAACGGCCACCATAAAATATCTCGTGCCTTCTTTGGCATGTCAAGTAATCTTTGCACCCTTTCTAAAAATGTTGATAGCATGATTTCCTTGAGAAAATTAAAGACACTCCGAGAGTCTTCAAACCATTGCACTAGATTGTCCGACATATCTTGTGGAACAGGCGGAAATACAAGCACAGGAACTCTAAAAAAGGGTCAGATAGAACAGTAATTATCAATAATCAAAGAAGCACAAGGTGAATCTAATCAAACAACTATGTATTGCAAGCAATATACATACCAAGGTGTCCATGCATGCACGTGTGCACACACACACCCATCCATGTACACATGCAAATACACTTTTAGGAGAGAGAGTGTTTGAAAAGCTTTCCCTCCCTAAATTCTATTTTCTCCCAATTTTGAATTATTTAATTGGACTTCTCCAATTGAATTTCAACAGATGGCCCATGTAACAACTTCTAACTTTTTGATAACTACTTTACATTTGAAGTTCTCATCATCTTTATTAACTAGGATACATTTAGCTTTTGCTCAAATATCAATTTACCTCATTAATAAGTAAATTTTTAATAATGTTAGAATGGGGTGGGGATAAGGTGGGAGTACTAGCAGGATTGGCAGTGGCAATGACAATGGCGAAGGCGAAGGCGAAGGCGAAGGCGATGGCGATGGCGATGGCGATGAAGAAATATTACAAATTTTGTGCATCGCATAGAGCGCCCGATAGTAAAATGCAAATACAGAGGGAGAAAGAGACTACAGTCACTACACACCAACAACATGAAAAGATCATCCTCTACAACTGGTTGCTGCAAGGCCACACATACTACTTGGCAATAAACAAAAAGGAACTATGTCCAAGAAAATGTACGGGAAACTGCATACCTATTTTGTAGATAAGAAAATAATGGCATCTCATTTGCAAGGCCATGATCTTGAAGAACAACAGCAACAACATCATAACCCCTTAGTTTTAAACTCTCATAAGCTGAAATGGTTCCAGAAATACCACCTAGTCGTCCATCCCCTACAAGAACAGCAGGTAACCGGAAGGGACTGCAAACAAAGGTGAGAATATTCTGAATCATAGGGAAAACACCAATCAGATTATGGCATGTTATATAAATGTGTGCATCATCCCTTGAACTCAAATCTTTTGTCACCTGCTCTGCTTAATAGTGCAATACCAATCGTCACTTATGCATGCCCCAAGATTACTATAGTGGTGCTACATAAATCAGCAACCCAGCTTTTTACCAGGGCACTCTGCTGCCTGGATTGCTGTGATAGTATCATAGGAAAGGTATTACCACTATAGTTGACCTGACGCCCACGTCCCTAAGCATAGTTAAGTTTCTGACAGGGGCAAACAAGGGAGGGACTAGTATGTTAAAAAGAATAAAAAATCAGAGAAATGTTAGGGGTACTTGCACCAGATGTTATTTTATGCCAGGTTCATGGGATAAGACAAAAAAAAGGGTAATTGGCCATATCCGTAGCTCTTAAAGCATTCAAATGAATGTTAAATAACTCAAAAAGCCACTAATATACTAAGACTCACTGCAGAAAGGTCAGTTCTTTCATTATTTGGAACTGCTGGTGCCTCTAGTTGCAATACTTCCTCCCAAAATTTTTAAACATTTCTACTTAATTTAACATTAGATCATTGGCTTGGTATTGAGGTCAGAAAACAAAAACAAAGAACAACTCATAAATTTGGAATAAAACCTGAAAAATTTGTATTCATGGGAGAATCAACAATTTCAAAGAATAGACGTTTTTGGTTGCGAATTTAAATGAACTATTCTGGAATTGAAAAAAATCCAACCGAATAACAAAAATTCCAAAAACAAAAACCACCTTCGACAATTATAATTTAAATGTAATAACAAAAACACAAATGCAGCAAAAAAGAATCACGCACCGATACAAATCACATTGAAGGGTACCGGATGGTCCCGGACTGGCAACACCACCTGCAGTCTCAATCACAGTCAAAACACCCACTTCCTCTCCCTGAACCTGTTCAACCCCACTTTCCAAACCAATCCCCAAACAATTCTTCAACATCCCCAACAACTCCGAATCCCCAACAACTGCTGCTTCCTTCTCTGCTGCCAAATGCGGCGACAATGCCTGTTTCCATCCATATGTTGTCTTACAGATCAACTCCTTCACCACTCCATCACCACCCTCGGCATGCAATTTTCTTTCCTCAAACCACCCCAAATTGTGGAACCCATTTTTAAATTTCCCAACCTTTTCACTTTCCAACCCAAATTCCATGAACCCACGTCCTAATTTTCCAACCTTTTCATTGTCCAACCCAAATCTCAAAGACCCAGCTCCCGAATTATCACTGTTTTCACTTGCCATCCCAAAACCACTTCCCAAAACGGCTTCTGAAGCCGGAATGGATGTTTGAAGCACATGATTCGAAGCAAGAACGGAGAATTGGGGTGGATTCCGGAGAAAAAGCTGGGAAAATTTGCGGTAAACAAAACGAGAATCGGATTCAATGGGGAACCCAGTTTGGACTGGTTTGAGGTAGATGAATTTGGAGGGTGTGGTTGAGGAGAGAAAATGAGGGGAATGCGGAGATAGGAAGGAGATGGCTAGGCCGGCAGAGATTAGGGTTTTACCGAGGCCGGTGTTAGAAGCCCAGATGGTGTAAATGGGGTGAGAAAGAGAGTATTCAATTGGTGAAGAGATTGTGGAGAAGAACTTAGGGTGGACGCGAGAGATGGGCTTGGAAAAAGAGTGGCGGGTGAAGAGAGCGGAGATTGGGTACATGGTGAGAGAGAGAGAGAGAGAGAGAGAGAGAGAGAGAGATGAAACAGAAACCCTCAGAGGGAAGAGGGTAGGGCGGCTAGGAATAATACGAATTTGAAATGTTTATGTGGCAGTGGCCTGATGCTACACGGAAGAAAAGGTCGGTAGAGAGAGCCATCAGCCATGGATGTCGTGTGTCAGGGCTAGTATACAAGGTGTTGATAAATAGGACAAGACTACAAAATTTTGGTACTGTGTTTCTAAATTTTATAATTTTTTAAAATTTTGATATAAATTTTATATTTTATTTATAATAAAAAAATTTATAATTTTTTAAATTAAGTTACAACTTTAAATTTTCAATTACATGTTCAGGTTTGATCACAATTTTATCACAAAAGTTATAAAATAACCATTAAAATTTTATAAAAAGTTACAAATTTTTTAAAGATAATGATGAAACAATGCCAAATTTGTTTCCGATACCATAGGCTTCTCTCGATAAAGTCATGTGCTATTATTTTGGATCCCTCTTTTTCTATCATATCATGAAAGTTATAGTTTTTAGAAAATAAGTTATAATTATAAAGAATGTGATCATTTTAAAATATTAGTATGAATGATCATAGAAATTATAATTTTTAAAGTTCAAGTTACAATTGTCAAATTACAACCCAAAAAACATAAAAATTATAATTAATTGAAATAATTCATGATTAATCACAATATATTTCATGATTAATATTGAATTATCTTAAGCATTTATAATTTCACTTTTAAAAGTGTAACTAAACCTTATATCAATATTGTGATGATATCCTATTATATTAAAGTCCTGTCATCTTAAATTGTATTAATTTCAAATTATATATGTGCTGAGAAGTATATTTGATTAATCAAAAATTCTAAGACTAGCCAATCAACAAATAAAAATAAGGGCGAATTATATTTTGTACCCTGAAAGATTCTTATTTTATATCATTAAAGATTAAATTTTTCATATTTCATCTTCAATATACCAAATGTGTTGTAATGTGTCTCTTCTATTAACTTTCTATTAGTTTTTTCGTTAATATCAGTGGATTGTCTTTTGACAGAAAAAATAATGAAAACTAACAAATGAGGGTGTTCAAATTTCTGATTACACATCATTTCTTAACCTATCCAATCCTATTGATTGATTAATCAAAAAAATTAGATGGGAATATGAAAATACTCGTCAAATTTTATAATTCTTACCCTACCCTGCCTACATATATATAAACTAAAAATTCTAAGTCCCTAACGCCTAGTCAGTCATCGCCTCCTCATCTGTCTAGCCTTTCTTGCCTCTCTCACCTCTTTCGCCCTTTGTTGGAATACCCCTACCTAACTCATTAGCTCGCCCCTCTCTCACGCTCTTTGCTTTAAGTACTTTGAGTTCTAGTCTTTCAGGTGCTCTCTATATCTCTGTTTCTCTCTCTCAGTTGATGGTTTCAAGTCCATCGATGGTTAGTGGTTGTTTAGGGCTACAAATTCTATGTTTTTTGCCTCCTAATATAGAGATGTATTGAAGAGCGATTAAATTAGTTGTGATCTAGCCTGAAAAATTTAATTTTCCAAAGTTCGTTTGTATCATACTATTAAAATTGTTTTTAGCCCTACGTTATCAACTAATCAGACTCCATAGAGTGGCACCATAACTCACCTGGCGTGTTTGATTACAATAGATACTTAAGTTTGATTATTTGCTTGCATGACTTTATTTTCCACTTTTTAAGTATGATGTTTTTTGTTTATTAAGGTCACCTTATTGCATCCCTCTTCGTATTAGTGTGTCCATAACTACTGTTGCTCATTTATGAGATTTTATAGTATATGATTTATGATATTTTGTATATAATTTTCCGAGAATCTAAATTTTAATATATGATTTTTGAGATTTTGTTTGTTATCATAGTATATGATTTCTGATTTTTTTGTTTTTGTTTATAGATCCAAAAATTAATAATTATAAAACGTATTTACTCGATTTTCTACCAAATTAATTTAGACAGGAGTCGGGTAGGAATACTATACTTGATCGAGTATAGTAGACCAATAATATATTATTCTGCAAAGTATCAGATAGAAAGATGAAAGACCATATTTCCTACTCGTAGGGTAGAATAAACACCCCTACTAAAAAAGGAGTCATATTGTAACACTTTTGATATATTAATGATGTAATATAAAAAATTTAATTTTTAAATGTACAAAGTAAGAATTTTAAAATCTTTCAAAATATAAAATACAAAAAAAGTATAATTGTACAACCAAAGGCTTGAGTCACCTAACGGATTTGATTTATTTATTAATTTGTAGGGAGAATTACACTTAGACTTATTGAGGTCTGTCACTTAATCACTCAAATCTCCTGATATTTGAAATATTACACACAATCCCCTGAGATTTACACACGTATAACACTTAGGTCATACTGTAAATATATCAGTTAATAAATTATACTTAGACCCCCATAAACTTTGTAGGTATATAATACTTAGATTCTTTAAGTGTAAAATATTATATTTAGATAAAAAATATTATAATCAAAAATAAAATAATATAAGAGACTTAAACCTCTTATTTGATTTTTTTAGTTTTATTCCAATAGATAGTATAATTGTATACTAATTATAAATTTTTAAGAAAAAATTAAATTTTTTATTTTTAATTTTATTTCAATAAATGATACAATAGAACATGAATTTTAGTTGTAAAATTTAAAATATTTGATATTTTATATTTGATTGGAGTATTTTCGATCTAAGTATAATATTTTAAAATTAAAGGGTCTAAATGTAATTAATTAACGGATATATTTACAATAAGAGTTTAAATGTTACAAATTTAAGGGGTTTGTATGTAATATTTTAAATATTAAGAGATCAAATAATTAATTAACAAACTTTAAATAGTCTGAATGTAATTCTCACTAATTTGAATCCTCTAGGCTTACACATCGCTCCCTCAGTTTCACCCTAGCTCATGACCATATTAATTTGGGCCGGTGATGTTTAGCTATGATTGATAGTCAAAAATTTGATGGCACCAACAATTCATAAGGTCTAAAAATTACGTGGGCTGTGCCGTATTCCAGTAAACTTATAAGATTCCAATGCGTCCAAAGTTAGAGTCAAATCCATTCACGATCCGTAAAATCAACGTCATTCGAAGTTAGGTGGCCTGCCTTGCCTAGAAGAGTCGTGTTTAACTGAGCTTACATTATTTTTGCCCAGAAGAGTCGCGTGTAAGTTATAACTTTAAAAAATATGATTGATTATAAAATGTTAGAATCAATAATGTATTTTTTATGATAGATTATAACTGTATGTGATCGATTATGACCTCCCTTAAGTTATTGTAATTTCTTATTTATATAATTATAATCGACAATATCAATACTATTTTTTATTTTTTTTCAAAACTGTAGAGTATCCTTTCGGTTTCTTACACTTCATCTATGTCTCATTTTCATTACACAACAACATTATTTCGCAGGTCAAGGAAGGTAGGTATTTATAGTTTATTTCTTTATCAGTCGAAATGTCTCTTCAATTTAAGATATTTAAATTAGTTAGAATAAATTATATAAATAACCCTTAAACTCAGTCATACGTGTTAATTAAGTTTTTTAAACTAATTTTTTATATCAATTTAACCCCTTAATTATACAATCTAACTCACGTACATGTGTTAACTATCTTAATTCTTGATTCACATGATGTGCATATGATAATGTTCGTTAAAATTAAGGTTACATTGACTTAGATTACATAATTTTTTTACACGGACTTTTGTCCCAAATTTCCATTAAGAGAGTAAAAAATTAAATCGATTTAGGAGAAAATGTAAGTCACGTGGCTGAAAATAAAGGAAAGAGAACTTGTATTTGCTCAATCATTATTACAATATTAATAGGGCACGTATCGCCAATATTAAGTATTCCGAAGAAGACCCAAAATCAAATGGAGAAAACCCAAAGTTTTCTTCAAACAGTATGGGCGACGTGGTTAATCACAAAACAACATGAGAAGACGTCCCCCTTTTTTTTTATATGTATATTCAAGCTTGTGGACCTATTTTGGATGGGAAATTCTACCGTACCAAAAGCTGTTCTCGGTTATTATTTTTTATGGGTAAAATTATATTTTTAAAAAAAAAGTTATAATTGTTCAAGGAAAGGGCATGATCGATTATGAAAATGTTAATATCGATTTCAACCTTCTATAATTGATCATATCTTTTAAAATTGTTACTTACATTTCAAAAAAATTGTAATTTAATATTTTATAATTTTTAGTACGGTACTGTCGGGCATCAGCGGTACCATAGCCTCAACCATTTTGTATAGCTTGGCAGTACTTTATTTGAAGTCAAAGTCTCCTAATTGATACCAATTATGAGTGACGTTGAGCAAGTCTTGTTTCAAGACAAACTGTAATGCCACCAAATCCTTTTCCCTTATTTTTTTTTTCTGGTTCTTCTCATCGATCTTCACATGGATAAGCATTACTTTGTTTTGCTTAGTCTATTGTTTATGCAATCTTTCATGATTTGTTTCTGTGCTTCTCCCACCAACCTCACTGATCAATTTGCTTTGCTTGTATTCAAAAATTTTACAAGAGACACCAACAATGTCTTGACTAATAACTGGACCATTTCAACTTCCTTCTGCAACTGGATTGGTGTCACTTGCAGCCCCCGGAGGCAAAGGGTGACAGCCTTAATCCTCCCTGAATTGAATCTGCAAGGGACCATTTCACAATCTATCACCAATCTATCATTTCTTGCCGTTCTAAATCTTGGTAACAACTTCTTCCAAGGAATTCTTCCTTCTGGACTAGGCCTTTTGCCTCGGTTGAGAGTACTTGATGTTCACAACAACCAACTTGAAGGAAGTGTCCCCTTGAGTTTATTCCGAAACCAAAAGCTTCAAACAATCTCTTTGGCCTACAACCAATTTTCTGGTGGCCTTTTGGGACAGCCATGGAATTTACCACAACTCAGAATTCTCAATCTTACCAGCAATGCTTTTACTGGTACAGTTCATCCTTCTATAGCAAACCTTTCAAAGATAGAGAGATTGAGTTTGGGTGATAACAGCTTTACTGGTAACATCCCAAATGAGATTGGCAATCTCAGTTACATGGCAGAATTGGATCTTTCCAACAATCAGCTTACAGGTCCAATCCCTCCATCCATTTTCAATCTGTCTGCCCTTCGTGTCGTGTATCTTGCTAACAATAGCCTCTCTGGCTCTATCCAGATCCATGTGCAGGATCGTCTTCTAAATCTTGAAGCTGTTGATCTCAGTTCCAATCGACTCAGTGACAACATCCCTTCCAGCTTATGCCAATTCAAAAGACTAAGATTTCTATACCTTTCCCAGAACAATTTCACTGGATCGATACCCAGAAATATTGGATGTTTAAATATGCTTGAGGACCTGTATGTTATTGGAAATGAAATAACTGGTACCCTTCCTCCTTCACTGGGCAATATATCTACTCTGCAGTATCTTGGATGTGTAGAAAATAGCATTGGAGGAGATATTCCTTGGGAATTGGGGAATCTTTTCAATCTGAAGATGTTGGGATTTGATTTCAACAATCTTGTTGGTGAAATTCCCCAAGCCATTTTTAACATTTCTTCTCTAATATACATTGCTTTCACTGCTAATCGCCTCTCAGGGCATATTCCTGAGACTACTGGCCTTCAGCTTCCAAACCTAGAAGGAATTTTTTTAGCAGATAATCAACTCATTGGAGAGATTCCGGTGTCGATCACAAATGCATCTTTACTTCTTCAGTTGGAGTTATCATACAACTTTTTCACTGGGCCAGTGCTTACTAATTTGGGAAATCTGCGGCAGCTCCAATTCCTAAATCTTGCAGGAAACCAGCTTACCAATGAGCCCGGAAAACTTGAACTTAGATTTCTTAATTCTTTAGTAGAATGTACATCCTTGCAGTTTTTATTGGTTGGTGAAAATCCACTCGATGGTATACTGCCTGATTCTGTTGGGAATCTATCATCAACTATAGAGATGTTTAACATACAGAATGGGCAGATCAAAGGCCACATTCCCAGAGGAATTGGCAATTTAAGCAGCATAATAACATTAGTTCTAAATGGAAACAACTTGACAGGAAGCATTCCTTCAGAGGTTAAAGAGCTAAAACAACTTCAAAGGCTGTATCTGAGTGAAAATAATTTACAAGGATCCATTCCGGAGGGCTTTTGTCATTTGACTGCCTTGGGGGAACTAATTCTTGGTCAAAATGAGCTTTCAGGACCGATACCACACTGCCTTGGGAATCTTATCCGCCTGCAAAGGATCCAGTTGAATTACAACAGCTTAATGTCGGCCCTTCCTTTAAGTATCTGGGAAATTAGAAGTCTATTGGTCATGAACATATCACATAATTTTCTTCAAGGAATACTTCCAGCAGAAATGGGAGGGTTGGAGGCCATTGAAGCAATTGATCTCTCTGGAAACCAATTTTTCGGTGAAATTCCAAGCACACTAGGTGACCTTAAACGCCTGAGGCATCTTTCCCTTTCAAACAATTCATTACAGGGTCCTATTCCTTCGTCGTTTGGGGACATGATAAGCTTGGAATTTCTGGATCTCTCTTCAAATTCCTTATCTGGTACCATACCTAGATCGTTGGAGAATCTTTCACAACTTAAGGAAATTAATGTGTCTTTTAACCATTTCCAAGGTGAAATACCTAGGGGTGGGGTTTTTGCCAATTCTTCTGCTCAATCATTCATGGGGAATGAAGGGTTATGTGGCTTGCCTAAAATAGGATTTCCTACTTGTGCTAGCAATAGTAAGTCGCAGGGATCAAAGCTGAAAATCCTTTTCCTCAAGTATGTAACTCCAGTGGTTGGTGCATGGATAGTTGTAAGTGCTTTAGTGTTTCTGTGGCTAAGGCATAGGCGTAAGAAGCAGCAACCATCCGAACCTGTAGAATTGCTACAAATCAGGACTCACCAGATGATTTCATATTTTGAGCTTCAACAGGCAACAGATAGTTTCAGTGAGTCCAATTTACTTGGAGTAGGTGGTTCTGGTTCTGTGTACAAGGGCACATTGTCTGATGGAACAATTGTGGCGATAAAAGTTCTGAAATTACAAGATGAAGTTGCGCGCAAGAGTTTCGATGTTGAATGTGAGGTGATGAAAAATATCAGGCACAGGAATCTTGTCAAAGTAATCACAACTTGCTCAAATCAGGAACTCAGGACCATTGTCCTTCAATTCATGCCAAATGGGAGTCTTGAAAATTGGTTGCATGGGCAGAACAATCCCTTGAGTCTCCTCCAAAGAGTAAACATTATGCTTGATGTGGCGATGGCACTGGAATACCTCCATCATGGTTGCGATGATCCTGTGGTTCATTGCGACTTGAAGCCAAGCAATGTTCTCTTGGATGATGACATGGTGGCATATGTGAGTGACTTTGGTATCTCTAAAATCCTAGGTGGAAACAGGCTCATAGCACAAACCAAGACATTGGGCACAATTGGCTACATTGCACCAGGTACAATGATTCTTGTAAATTCATTATTACTTTTGCTATTTTTTATTCATCCAACTGCCTTTTTTTTACTCTGGATTCAATAAAGCTTTGGTAGACTGCAACAAGATAAGGAGAAGTTAAGGAAATAAATGGTAATATAATTTTTAAGAGTAGCCATTATATTATGATCAAGACTTTTGTTAGATTCCGAATTGGATTGTCCTTTCCGCTGTCATTGTGACAAATCAGAGGGAACCTAAGACTACTAGAAAAATAAATCTTTTCGCTAAGACAAAGTATAGCAGAATGCAAGACGAGCAGAAAAGTTAGAGAACACCTAAGCCAAAATGTTGAATAGTAGGAGACGAGTACACTGCCCAGAAACTTAGTTGTCCCTCCGTGAGTAAGTTGTTTAGTATTTCTTTCTTAAGCAAGAAGGCTAGAGCAGCTCTGGTCGAGCCCCTGTAAAATTCAAAGCTAACAACTTCTCTAGATGATGAGTGCTAAGCCGCAGAAATCAACAAGGAACTACTTGTCAAACCATTTTGGATACGAATGTAGTACCAAAGTGTAGTACGAGATCCTGAACATTATCCCTTTGAATTCTTAAAATCTTTAGCTGTTATCTGTGGCTATTAAATGTTAAAAATAATTGGCTTAAATTACTTGTACTGTGATTTTAGAATATGGTTCAGAGGGAATAGTGTCCACAAGTGGTGACGTTTACAGCTACGGGATCATGTTAATGGAGACATTCATATCTAGAAAGCCAACAGAAGAGATGTTCACTGAAAAAACAAGCTTAAGACAATGGGTAGAAGCATCATATCCCACTGCTGTGATGGAAGTCGTCGATGCCAATCTTTTCGATGGGGAAGATCAAATCAGCACTAGACAGAAATTTTGCGTATCATCTTTGATCGGATTGGCTCTTGACTGCTCGATGGCAAACCCCGAGCAGAGGATTAACATGAAAGATGTGGTGATCAGGCTTCAGAAAATAAAGCCCGAGCTCTTAGAAACAAAGAAGTTGCCTACTTTGACACTCTAGTTCTGTCTTCATCAGTATGGAAACCAGTATACCTTTGATAGTGCACTTTTTTCTTTAATTGCTTTGATAGTGTAGTTGAATGAATGTATTGGTGTCATAAATTGTTGTAAGTCCGTTCCGAATCGTAATCTGGACATTTTCTGAGCCTTAAGCCATGGAGTTATCGACCCAAAGCGGGACTCATTGACACCAAAATACACACACATTCTTGAACACATCAAAATATACCGTGTTCCTGTCATATTGTGATGACGACTCTAACACAAAAGCAAAGTCAATGGTAGGTAGAAGCAGCATAAAACATTTGAGGGTTGAGAGCAAAAATTGATTGGAATTCTATCATCTTGTCAAACGCCCGTTGACTTTATTCTCTAAAATTCTACATGAAACGCCATTGATATCATAGAACCTGCTTAGCATTGCTAATAATTGAAGAAGGAGCAATGGGTAGAAAAATTTCGGGTAAAATTACATGACACCATCACCTTTCCCAGTGTCTCCACAAACTGCAACTTTTTAAACCTAATAATACACTGGGGATAGACTTCAAAACTAATGTCAAATGTCAGATCTAGATTGAATCTTGATATGTCAAAGATCCGAATTCAATAAAAAATTTGAGTTTTGAATTTGATTCATTTACCCACGTATTTTATCTACATTCGTTAATAATTGGATATTCGAACCGATTAGCAGATTCGATATGAATATTTGAATTCCAACAAAATTTTATAAAAAATTAATAATTTTACCAAATTTGAATTAACTTTCAACATAATTTAATCAATCAATCATTTTATTCAATAATTTTTGTTTAATTTCATATCAATCTCATGAATAATTTAACTATGTATATATGTATATACAATAATTTCTCTCAATTAAATATATATATACATACCGTATCAGATTTTTATCAGATCGAATTTACATGTTTCCAAATCCAAATCCGTTTAAAGAAACTTAATTGGATTCGGATAAACAAATTAAAATATTAATCTATATGTAGTTAAATAGACTTGAATTCACATAAAATCCACTCCATTGGCAAGCATACCCTAAAGTGCCAAATAGGTCATGAAATTGCACAAGCACCCCTTGCACTCTTGTAATATCTATCTAATATTACAATTAATAAGTTAACTTATTAGTTTATGGTACAAAATTTATCCCAATTTTTTTTTTTACTCAAAAAACATTTATTTATCTGCACAACACCCAATGTCAGATAACTCAACTAACATACTCCCTAATTTCAAACAATTTCATTAATCTACATATATCTCTCTCTTCTCTCTTCCATACTTATTTCTTATTTTCTCTCATTTCATTTCATTTTAATTTTAAATTACATAATTGAAAAATAAATTAATAAATTATTATTTAAAATATAAATACTGCACAACCAATGTTAGTTTGTTGATATTACAGAGTGTCTTTAGACAGAGAATTATTGCTAGTTTTATAATAAGTCATTTTGTACTTGTAATGTAATGCATAAAACTATAGACTGTCAAGTAATTCGGATGAAAATAAATCCTGGTGAAGCATAGTAACTTGCTCACGGATCATGGGCTGGCCTTACAGCCCAACTATCCTCCGGTTAATGGGCCCTAACCAAGACGCTCGATGCCCTGTTAGTCCGGCTGGTAGGAGCATTGCATGGGCCCTATTTTAGATACTTTCGCGTCCAACAGCTTGGCCCATGGACCCACCCCGAAGCCACAGAATTTTAAAAATTAATATATTAATTTAATTTAAATAACAAAAAAAAATCCAATTATGGTCTGTTTAAAGGACCACTAGGACTGGCCTTTTTAGCTGTGGCCTTGGCCAACACATCTTTACATCAATGATTATTTCGATGTGGTGTTTTTTAGATTGTTACGTGGATTTTGAGTTTGTACTCTAACAGTTGAGTTATTTAGACTAGTTATAAAGACAATTCTCTATTATTGAAATGGGAAGGAAAAAAATCGATAATGGTATATACTTACCAATACAAAGAGGAAAAATAAAATATATATTGGTGTGTTGAGGAATTGACAAGAGCCAAGTCAATTTCCTTGATGCTAAAAGTGAATGGGTTTGTTAAAAAGGAGGGGTTGACAATGGTAAGATACAGCCTGCAGAGGTTGGAGTGATTAGGAGTCATGAGCTCAGGAACAGGGTCTGTTTGTAGGGTCTATGTGGATTATATGCAAAAAGTGCATGGAAGATAATAACAGCGTAATTAATATAAGGGTGATCATACTTATTGATCACAAAGGAAAACAAAAGCCATAACGGGTCTCCTTTCCAGGAACTTACTTTGTGGCTGGTATAGATATCAAATGATATCAAAAAGTGCATTGACATGTTGTGCCCTTGTTCATTCGTATATGCTATTGATGTATTGTTTTAAGCAACAATAGTTGATTATTGGTTGTAATAGTAATCTATCAATATATATTTCAAAAAAGGAAAAAAAAACACTTACAAAATCTGGCTTAATAGCGGTTTGCCACCTCATTGAATATTAACTTGTCCTAAATTGTTTGTGGTTTTAGAATTGATTTTGGCAATACCACATGGTTCAGGAGCATGTTGAGCTAGCATTCCACGACAGATTCTAATCTTCTTACACATCTCAAAGTATTATCGTAACCACAGTTCAAACAAATTAATTGTTATTCGGCCATGATTTGTACATGCATCCCCCTTTTTACCAACAAAGTTAATGATGCATTTAATAAAATTTATATTCATAATAACAATAGGCTAAATCCTGGTTTATTGAACAACCAAGAGCTTGAGTAACCCAACCAATTTGATTCATTTAACTGATTCGAATCTGCTGGTGGATCCGTGGCTGTTTCCTTTCATTCTAGATTGTGTTTCATCCCTCATGAAGGTCGTGATTCTAGATCGTGATATCTTTTTTTTTTTTTGGGGGTTAACCAAGAGATATTAGGACGTCTTAGAGCGCCATAAAATTCTCACACTACGTAATTTCCAGGATAAATGAATTGTAGTAGCTACTTCTACTTATCAAATGGTTCTATCAGGCAAATGTATTTGTTTGATGTTGTCTGCCTTCCAAATTAGGACACTTATAAAAAATGGCTTAGTAGACGAGACTACAGTTATTGCAGAATCTGAGTAGGATAAGATACACACAATCTTACCTTTGAGATCTATGTATACTGATTTTCTTCAAGCACAAAGTATAACATGTTTGAAGCGACATTGGAATTTAAAATTTTTGGTCAATCCTAAATTGCAACATTATCAAAAAGAATATTATCAATAGAAAGAAAATGAAAATGAAAATGAAAATTGTTGAAGCATTTACTAGATGCTATTGAAAAATGTGAGCTTTTTTAATCATTTGATGAGAATTTGTAATGAATTTGTCTCATGATTGAAGATCAATTTTTCATGGCAAATGTTTTGCAAATATATTTCAAACTTTTTAGGATTATTTCACACGGCCTTCCCCTCATGATTGAAGATCAATGTTTTGCAAATGTTTTAAGGATGGGGATTCTTACTCCCATTATTTCTTTTGTGAATGAGGAAGCTGATTACCGTCACAGATTCATTCCCCTTCTGGTAATGACAGAGAAGGTGCAAGATTGGCTAGGGTGTCTGCATTTGTGCTCTACTTAGCGAAAACCAATTTTGTCTAGTGCACTATAATTTTCATTTAGTACCAAACAAACTGAACTAAATGAGAATGGCAGCTGTACGCTTGGAATTCTGATGTGGTGTACGATTGTCTTGATGGAACACTCAGAGGAGAACCATGTCAATTAATAAAAGTCATGTTGAATTTTAGACGTTGTAAATTCGAATTTTAACAATTTTTTGAAATCAGACAATGAAAAATTTATTCTTAATAAATATTTAGTTTCAGTGTGAAAGATTTGCCTTTGACCGGACCAGAGAAAGAATTAATTGAAATAGACGTAAACTAACCCAAACATTTATTGTATTTCTGTGTGTGTTGAGAGAGAGAGTGGGGGGTAGCATATAAATTAATTAAGGTGTGTTCATTGAAATTCGAATAACTAGGCACCAATCATTCCATATTATTTTGGTATTTAGACAGTAGTGACCCAAGCTTATCTTCTTATCAACAAAACCTAACCAGCTCTCGTCTAAAAGTCTCAAGGTTGGTCTTGCTGATGATGCATGAAATGCAATTTCAAAGGAGTGAGAGTCTGAGAGATTCTTGGACTGAGAGAAAGACAAGCAGAAGCATGTTATCTTCCTCCCAAAGATCTGAGTCCATTTGATAATTAAGATACATATTCGTAGTTGTTGGAGAGACTTCTTTTTGAAAAAAATGATAGTTTTCTCCTTGTTATTTCTATGCAAGTGCGGTTCCGGGCCTCTTTGTTCTCTTCTCTTCATTATTAAATTTGATTAGAATAGTATTAAAGTTGAAACCCAGGTCAATGAGTGGTTCCCCCTCTATAAAATATTCTAATTCTTGGGACGCATCACTTTCCTTCGTTTACGTAATTGTTCGGAGTGAAAAATCCTTACAAGATTAGAGAATTTTTTTTGCTTAATTTTGTTAGAATCTAGATCGAGTGGGTGATTAGTTTGGCCCAAAGAGAAGTGAATTTTAATCTTTTAAGTTTTAGATTTGGACTCGACTAGGTACCGAAATTTATTATATTTGTAAGTATTTTTACTATTGCTGTGGTTATTCTTATCACTGTTATAGTACTTAAAAAAATGATAAAAATAGTTATTACAACAGTAATAAAAATACTCACAATAGTGGTAAAAAGATCAATAAAAGTGAGAAAAAATTTTATACCCAAGAAAAGTGGTAAAAATAATTATTACAACAGTGATAAAAATATTCACAGTAGTGATAGAAATACCCAAAAATGATATTTGATTATAAAATAACTCACAAAAATTATAAAAATATCTTTGAAATAATAAATTTTAAAGATATAATAACAATTTTTTTTGACGGTACCGTAATTAAATCCTTGAGATTCATGTGACAGATTAATAAATTGATTAGAATAAGATTAACTAGAATTGCGACATAATCCACAATGACACAGACTTTTATTGGTACGTACCCTAGTCCTAGATATTGACTTTTTACTATAAAACCAAGCCAATTCATATATGTAGAGTTAGAAAAAGGACCTTGATAATATTAGAAAACAGGATGCTAATGGTGCCGTAATTAGCGACTTGATGATTTGATAAGAAAATTCAACACTTCTAATGTAATGAAGGGTAGCTCCATAATCGAATATTTTTAGGAGATTGCCGACAAAGCTATAGGATAGTGGCTTCGTTCTTGATTTTACCTGTAGCATTACTTTCTAATAAAGTAATGAAAGCAAAAAAGCTGTGGCTAATATGAGAGGAAATTTTTGTAGTACTTTATCCAGTTGTTTGTATTAAAATATACAGAAGGATGAGTGAACTAATCCCAGAGAGAGAGATGCACAAACCCTAGAAGAGACGTAGACTTTTTTGGTCCTCATAAGCATCACATCACTCATTTTTCCAACCTATAAAGTTCGGTCTTCTCTTCTACAATATCCCACCAATAATTAGAGACAGCTTCTATATGTGTTATTTGGCTGGAGAGAGAGATGGGTAGAGCTCCATGCTGTGACAAAACCAACGTAAAGAAGGGTCCATGGTCCCCTGAGGAAGATGCAAAACTCAAGGCTTATATTGATACTTATGGCACTGGAGGAAACTGGATTGCTCTTCCCCAGAAAATTGGTATATACTCTCTCTCTCTCTCTCTCTCTCTCTCTCTCTCTCTCTCTCTCTCTCATGCTCCATGTGATTGTGTTTATCTTTTTCTGCTTGGGTTTTTGCATGCACCGAAATCGATTTGTTTGACACTTTGACTAATTGGTGAGAATAATTCATAGGGATGAAGAGATGTGGAAAGAGTTGCAGACTAAGATGGCTGAATTACTTGAGACCCGATATTAAACATGGTGGATTCACTGACGAAGAAGACAATATCATCTGCAGCCTCTATATAAGTATTGGCAGCAGGTTTCTCTCTCTCTCTCTCTTAAAAGAATCATCTCAGCTCCAAGATCTGAATAGTCTTCTTCCTATTTGCTTTTTGGCACCAGTTTTGGTGTCGCAATGGTTTCATGTAAATTAGAGTTAGTTACAGTTTATTTGATGTTTATTTATAATTCAAAAAAGTCAGTTGCAACTCAAAGTTGACGACCCTATTTTACAATAGGTCACAAGATTGAATGCCAAACTCATCCTTATTTTGTAGTAAATTTTGATAGAATATACAAAGAAAAGCTTCATTATCGTAGGCTTACGGTATGTTTTGTACGTAGATACTAACATTGCACAATTTTTTGTGCAATCTCAGGTGGTCCATAATTGCAGCCCAATTGCCTGGAAGAACAGACAATGACATCAAGAACTACTGGAACACCAGATTGAAGAAGAAGTTGCTTGGAAGGCGAATACAGTCACATACAAACCATCTATCGCCCGCTAGTCAGAACCCAAAAGATGAAAATGGCATAGAAGAATCAAAGTCCTTAAGCAACTCAGCCCTTGAGAGACTTCAACTCCATATGCAGCTTCAAACCCTTCAAAACCCTCTCTCTTCCTGCAACAATCCTGCACTGTGGCCCAAACTTCATCCCCTCCAAGAAAAGACAATACAGAGCCTCCACCTCCAGGGTCTGAATGAAAGCTCTAACCCTTTAATGCAACAGGCCGTCACACCCAGTAATCTGCAGTTAGATGAATTGGATAACTCTGTGATAAAATCATCTTCAGACAGCCCAATAATGTTCAATAATGGAAGCCACTTATCAAACTCAACTACTACTGTTCCAAAATCGGGTGGTATAGAACAATCAAACCCTGTAATTCAGTCAGTTTCAACATTTACCCAGGGGGATTTTGATGATTCTATCAACAACAAAGCGGTTGGTTCTGTATCTGGAGAGAATCAGATGGCTGAGTTTGACTGTTTCAAAGAGATGGATGATTCCAAGGACACTGTGATTTGGTGGTCTAATGACTTCCACACAAATTCAATTACTTCCTCAAACTCTTGGGATTCGATTTCTGTTCTCCATCAGCCTGAAAGATTTTATCAGGATTATGCATTAGGATACAGTGTGCAATGATGAACTACTCAAGTAGTAGAAAGCCTTTGATGCTCTTAAGAAGATTAAGATTGAAGCCATAATAACTGGTGTTGTAAATTGTGTAAACGATTTTATTACCTTGTATTGAAAAACAGCATTCGACCTGACTGTCAACTGAGATTTGATCTATTGTTTTGTTCATGCAGACTTTCAGTTCAAACTCCATTGGCCATTCAGTCAAAAAAAACTAACCTAATTTGTTGACATTATTATTTAAGTATACAAATTACTTGTACAATAATAATTTATTTAACCAAGTATTCAAGAAAATAAACTGAAAAATAATTTTCCCTAAAAGCACTAAAATTCGAAATAAAGTAAAAAATGATCTCACAAACTATATAATCAAACTGAAGCTTTGTTTTTAAAAGTTGGTTCATGCCTCCGGAGTTGATAGCTCAGTGCAATAACAAGTTTATTACGAAAATCATCTCCACTACTTTATTGCCAAATGCCAAAGAAGTGAAAGGGAGAATGATCATTTCTCACAATGCAATAGAACTCTTCTAATTAATAAGTAATTGTCAAGTTTATGTGGACTTGCTCATCAAGTTTAAATGGTTGAGTAAAAAGAGCTATAGATAAACTTGGTGGAGTCTTTGAAACTCGAATCCATAACCATGAAGTTTAATTGATGGCACGTAGAATTATTTAAAGCAGATGCTTTTCTTACCTCTCAGGAAAGATCTTTCCACGAAGAATCACACAAGAAATTAAGTAAAAGGTGTTCGTTGCTTTCGTAGTAGAATCAAGAATGAGAATAGGATGGCATAGAGATGGTGTAGTAGAAGAGTACTGCCGCTTGCATGTGTATGAACCTAATGGAGGCCCACTAATTTCAGTGTCTTGAAACACAAACTAATAAAAGCCCACACCTATTACTTAGGTGCTTAGAAAAACAACAGATCTTTTGTCAGCATGAAAGTTGAACTGAAGTGTCAGTGTTTCTTAAATGATTATATTGCACTGCTCATACCACATAAATGTTAAGGGCAAAATACAAAATAGTCTCTTAAGTACATGCGCTTTGAGTCAAGTTGATCTTCATTCTTTTGATTTTGTCAAGCTGATCGCTCAAATTTTCAATTTGTGTCAACGCAGTTCAAATGAAAAAAACAGGGTCTCTAAATTCTCTATCCCAAATGGTCGCATACCTCTAATGTGACCACACTTAAATCTATTACAGGAATCCCACAGAATCCATTGAAGTCTCTCTCTCTCTCTCTCTCTCTCTATCTGATGTTAAATCCTCTTGCCTTCTTCCAAATTTAAGCAATAGAGCGTTCATACCTCACGTTCTTTTCCCTCCCAACATATATCTAGCTCATCATACATTGTTTTCTTTAGAAAGAAGAACAGCATAAATAAGGTCTAGCATTTGTTTCTATAGGAATCTGCCTAGATTGTTGTTTGTTTCTATAGCACCATTGATAGTGTAACTTAGAACATCCAGCAAAAATAATAAAGCCATATTTTGTCAGCCATTGCTTCATTGGATCTTCCAATTTAGAGAGATATAAATCAATAAACAAATCATATGAGAGCCAAACATTGAACGTGGGCACATCATTTTTTGTCCATGGAATCAAACAATTTTCTTAGGACAAAAAGACACAATATACATGCTTATATTGTGTGTGTGTGTGTGTACCTCAGATTCCACATAAATATACTAAAATATATTTTGGATCCATGTTAATTAAATAAGTGGTAGATTAAGCAACATGAAGAAGCTAGTGAATTTCTATTATGAATTTTAAGGCCAGACCATGTCTTTCTTTTG